CATTCCGATGACCGAGCTCGACTGGGCCTGCCTCGAGAGCCGGTACGTCAAGCGGCTGCTGACGTCACTGTGCTTCAAGTACCCCCGGCACGGGGCGGCGTACTGGAAGGTCCCCGGAGATTGCGGATGGGGGTGGTTAGAGCGGGTTAGGGGCTGGGTTAGCGAAGCGCGCGCTAACCTGCCGGAGGAAGTCGAAGACGCGCCCGCTCCCGAGCCGGTTGCCAGAGGTGGCGGGCGCCGCGCACGCATCGACTGGTCGGATGACGACGATGGTGACGTTATCAGGAGGCCGCGAGCGGTCACGATGGAAGAAGGCGGTGTGGGTTCGGACGGAGAAGGGTTAGGCGCGCCGCCGAAAAGGAAAAGGTTGGTTAAGAAGGGCGAGGAAAGTGGGGGAGAGGAAGCGCGAGTGCGAGCGAAGCCGGAAGCGAGGCTCGCAAAGGAAAAGCGGAAAGAAGAAAAGCGGTTGGAGAAAGCGAGGAGGCGCGCGCAGTTGATGACAGAGGGCGGAGGTGGCGCGCGAGCGCGCGCGCCGAGGAAGGAGCGCACGGGTCCGGTTAAGAAGCGAGTTAGGCGGGAGGTTCCGGAGCTGGAGCCGGACAGTGAGGTGGACATGGACGACATCAACGCGTTTTTGGCGAAGGAGGCGGACGGGAGGCGAGTTAGGGAGGAGGAAAACCAGGTTAAGGAGGAGTTAGCGGAGAAGGAGATGCAAGAGCGGATTGCGCGTGGGGAGGAAGTGGAGGAGGTTCCTAAGGGGAAGAAGAAAGGGGCGGCGGCAAAGAAAGCGGTGCCGAGGAAACGTGCGGCGCCGAAGAGGAAGGCACCGGCGAAGAAGAAAGGGACGACGCCGGACTTCATTATTGATGAGAACGTAAGCGACAGTGATTCGGACGGCGAGGTGGCCCCGGTGGATGAGGAGCGTCCGGAAGAGAGTCTGGCGGAAAGCGGTGGGGAAGCGGAAACAGCGAAAGGCAGGAAGCGGAAGCGTGGGGTTGCGAGGAAGGAGGCGCCCGCGAAGAAGTCGGCGAGAGGCAGGGCAGCCAAGAAGCAGGTAGCGGATGAGGATTCGGACGCTGATGATAGCGTTCCGGACGCCGAAAAGGACGACACGAATGCAGTATCGGACGGTTCGGACGCCGAGGAAAGCGACTCGGGTGCCGAGGGAGACCGTTCGGACGTTGAAGAAGGCCGTTCGGACGCTGGAGAACCGGGCTCGGACGGAGAATCTAATGCGGAGAGCGAGGAGGTGGCTCCTACGAAGAAGGCTCCCAGCGAAAGGGGGAAAGCTGGCGGTAAAACTGGGGCAGCACAGAAGAGGTCAGGGGCTGTGAAGCACAAACCGGTTCCGAAGCGGAAAGCCGCTCCGAAGCGGAAGCCCGCTCCGGCGAAAAGGAAGAAGGCTGCACGACAGAGCGGGGACGATGACGTCAGCGGGGGCCCCGGGTCCGACTCCGACGCGGACGGGCACGTGTCTCCCGTCCGGAAGGGCAGGCGCGGTGCGAAAGGCGTGTCGGCAAAGGGCAAGAAGAAGGCGGGTACGCGTCACAAAACGGATGACGTCATTGCCGAGGCGGACAGCGGGGATGACGTCAGCGCGGACGGGAGGGGCAGCGGAGGCTCCGGCAGTGACAGCGGCAGCTCGAGCAGCAGCGAGAGTGGGAGCGGATCCGGTTCCGGCAGCGAGAGCAGATCCGATTCCGGCAGTGGGTCTGGCAGCGGATCTGATTCGGATAGCGAGTCTGGGTCTAGCAGCTCGTCCAGCGAGAGTGAGGTGGACGAGACAAGGCCCGGGAAGAATGCAGGCGGGGCTGCCAAAACGGAAGGCCCTGTTGCGGCGGACGGTGCGGGCGAGACAGGGCCTGGGAAGGAGGCAGGCGTGGCTGCCAAAAACGGAGGCCCTGCTGGGGCGGAGGGCACACAGGAAGAATCTACGAGGAAGGCGAAGGGAAAAGGGGCTGCGGTTCAAGCGAGAAAGCGCAAGGACCGTTCGGAGAGCGAAAGTGGCAGCTCGAGTTCGAGTAGCAGCAGTGACGGGAGCTCGAGCAGTGGCGAGAGCGATGGGAGCGCGCGCAAAACAGGGCCTCGCGCCGCGGGTGGAAAAGCAGGCAATAAGAGAGGCCCTGTTGAGAAGAGGGCGAAGGACAGCGAGAGTGACAGTGAGAGCGGGTCGAGTGGCAGCGGTGGAGAGGAGTCTGAGGACACGAGGCCTTCAAAATTAGCCGGAAAAGGGGGCAAGAAGAAAGGCCATGTGAAGAGAAAGGGGAAGGAAGATGTTCCTTCCGCCAGTGACAGTGACAGTGCCAGCAGTGGGGAAGATGCTAAGAGGACAAGGCCTCCGAAAAAGGCGGGCAAGGCGGGCAAGAAGGAGGGCCCTGTGAAAAGGAAGGCGAAGCGGAGCGACGTTTCTGGCAGTGACGAGAGCGGAAGCGGGGGTGAGGGGCGGGTGGGGGCAGGGAAGGGGGCCAACACCAAGGGAAAGAAAGGAGGCAAAAGAATGCCGCCCAAGAAAGGAAAGAGGTAACTGTTTGAAGGCCAACGATAACATGTTGCTATTCGTACCCTCTTTTTGTGAGGGCTCGATAATTGCGGATTGTAAGCGTGCCGCTACATCGGTTGAACGAGATAGAACGGCAATCAGAATTCGAGCGCAACCAAAGGGGCTTATGCGCTGCGTCGCGCTCGTACTTCACATGTGACACGAATGCCTTTTCGGGCCCATCCAGAGTTCTCCCAAATCTCGTCGATATATAATGCTGAGAAGCCTCCTCGTCCCAATTGAACGTCTCTCTTTGACCTACGAAGCATTCATCCCGTATCCATCCCGTGCTTGCAAATGGAGGGCGGCTCGTACGGTCAAAGGAGAGATGGGGCTAAGCCAAACGGAAGCGTACTGGGTATTCCGCCGGGCCTGCACATGCCCCCATGTCATCCTAATCTGAAATCCGAGTCCTCAACGTTATGAGAAGACGGTGCGGTCCGTCAAACTTGAAAGTGCGTAGTACCAATGCCTTGCTAACCTAGCGTGTAAGTGGTCGGATGATATCATAGTATGCACCGCGCCGCCCATGGTCCGTGCGACAAACACGTCTGCAATATATTGTTGAGTCTCGCGAGTCGGACATACATGTGCGTATATATGTAATTAGTTAAAGGAATCAAACGCAATGTGGTACGCTCTAATGAGGTACGTGCCTAGCTGCCCTACTATATGAAGTCATGTATGAAGTGCCGGCGCCGCGGCCCGCGGGACAATAAACCGGAGATACAACACATATGCAAGATTAGAGTCACTGAAAGAATTATCAACAATTGAACAGGCCGGTAGTGCGCGCGCCCAATGATGTTCAATAGCGAGGCCACAAAAGATCGGCGTTGAAGCACTGCACATGGATAATTCATGAGCAGCGCGGCCGCGTTTCACAACACAGGATCACTCCAAAACGTACAGCTTTTGCTTTCTGTTTGGCATCAGCCTGCGACGCCATACTGCTGCTAGGCATACTCCCTAACCATCTTATCGAGCAATCCCTTTAGGCAAGGGTAGAGACAAATGACGTCCCCCTCTCCTTCTACCCGCTCCGGTATCAAGATTCCCAGCCCCTCGACTTCCGCCCACCTCTCCGGGCGAGTCTCCGGCAGCACCACTACGCCGTTCACCTCTTTCTCTTTCAGTTCTCCCCAGACGTGAGTCAACGCCTCCCGAGCAATTTGATTGTACCTCGCGTACAGATTGAAAAAATGCCCGATTTGCTTCCGATGTTCCCTTTCCGCCCGACAGAGGACCGCCTCCAGCTTTTCCGGCGTCAGAACCTCGCCGTCTCTCAGATACACGGAGAAACAAGCACGCCAGGCTAGGGGGCCCCGTCAGCCGTTCCGCCGCTCGCCGCCAGTCCACGTCGCTGCTCGCGCGGCGACCCAGGTAATGCTCCAACAAGGCCTGCACGTCCGCCGGTTGAGACGGCCGAATCGGAGCCACTTTTGCCAGCTGCACTTCTTCTCCGAAGTGCAGCACATTTGCAAGGTCCGAGATGTCGATTGTGTACACGACACGGAGGTTCGGGTTTGCTTCGCAGAGAGTCGCGACCGCGCGCCCAAACTCGAGCGACAGGTACGTCTTAAAGAGACGTAGGCGCGCTATTGAATTGTTGGAGATGCGCTCGTAGGGTCCTTTCTCCGCGTAGCATTCCATGTTGCTGAGAACTAGAACGATGAGACCGCTGGCGCGTCCGGTGAGCTTGACTGGATGGGAGTCGCGGGTGACGTATGTATCACCGGCATAAGTCCGAATGTCGAATCGCACTTGGTCGGGAGCCTGCACGAGATGGCACGTTCATCAGATCTGCGGAGCACTTTTGTCAACATTGAGCAGAGAAACAATCATTTTAAACGTTGCTTGGTTTTCCATTAAGTTGAGGAGCGAAGAATTGTACAGGTGGCAAAACAACGGAGGCAAACATCTCAAGCTGAGCCTTGTGTTTGAATTGGCTTTCTATATGTCGTCAGTCTGGCTAGATTTCAGCATGGAGTTGTCTGACGAAGTGGAACTGAAGTGACTGAACTCAAGGACCATGTCTATCACGGTCTGCGTCCCTCTCTACTGCCTTCGAACAGCCTGCAATGGCAAGCGGTCCGAACAGAAAGTCGACTTGCGAATCAGCATAATATCTCATGCTCGCTCCACGTCGAGAGCTTAAAGTGCGAAATATAGGATTAAGATCCTGTCAGGGAGAGAACGGGCGAGCTCTAGAAGGGCACTCACGCCGGCATCAATGATGCGCTGGCACCCCGCCGCCAAGGCCGCCACGCACGTTTCCACTGTGCCGCGCAGCGCCGCGCGAACCTCCCCCACCGTCGCGCGCGCATTGGCCTCCAAGTGCGCCTTTACCAGAATGAAGCAGTCGGTTATCAGCCGACTGACCGACCCGTTGCGTGCCCCGGTGACGCGCGCGTAGAGCGCGCCCTCCGCGCGCGGCGCGCGCTCCACCGCGCTGAACTTGCCACACCGGGGGGGCTTGCGCAGGAGCGCCGCGTTCCCGCGCGCGCTGCCTAGGAAGAACGCGCGCAGGTCGTCGCACGTCTGCGTTCGCCAGTGGCAGAATTCGGGGATCTTGTCGAAGAAGGGGATCAACGCTGAGCCTGCATGAAAACTAGGGAAACTTCTTCTGTTTCTTCTGCTTGGCTGTGAGTTGCTTGCAGACCAGACGTCAATCATATACAAAAGCCTTGTAGCAGACGGTTCAGGAGGTTTTAGCAGGTTTTAGCAGCGCTTGCAATTCCTGTGCATGAGCAAGCAAAGTCGCCTTCACCCCTAGCACAATCCAGTCAGCTCAATATAGTTCTCAAGCAGCTTCATTTTGTTCTGGCTTAAGCCCCTTTCCGATCAGTCGGACTCCAGAGTCGTCTTCCAATGAATTCCACTTTCAACGGATTCCAGTCATGCTCAGGGAGAACGAACACAGTCGTGTGGCCGTATCGATTGTATACCAAGCAATCTGCTCTTAGTTAGTTGAAGAAGCAAGGATTAGAGGGACGTTGCTCTTAGCCCGACAAGGTCGCCACCAAGTAATCGAGGGCCACTACCGACTCAAATTGTGCCATCTGCAATACTAAAGTCACCAAATATGATTTGGACCAAATCTCAGTCCTGAGCTCGTTGAAGATAAAAACCTCTGCAACGTGGTAGATCAAAGACAATGCTTGCGTACCGTACAGTATTCTTGAACAAAGCCACCAGCAATTGACCTCGCGGACCTTTGAGCCCTGTGCATAGACAATCTGCTTCGTATAGTGTTTCAAACAAAGTCCTCCAACCACGGGCTCACCTGCATCATACAGGAGGGGGCTAAAATCTACAACAATCTGAGGCATTAGCTTCTTCGACCAACTATTCTTGCCTGCCGAAACTGTCCTTAGACTGCATATATTAAAAGAGGAACAGCAACGAACGTGAGGTCACAGAAAGGAATTCAAGCACTCGCCTTGCAGCGCAGCGTGGTTGTGCTGTCCATCCGCAGACGCGCGGCCCCAACATTCCAACGCCATGCTTGGCGACGTCCGCCTCTTCTTGCTCTCAGAAGCCTCATCAAGATCTCTGACGTCAACCATGATGTCCTCCCCTCCTTACACTCCCACTTACTGAACTGGATGGACTGCTAAGCTTCCCAAAAGACTGCACCACAAACGGTCTTCGAAAGGTACTGATTTTAGCAGAAGCTCCAATCTGCCGAAAAAGATTCCGACTCACCCGGCGAAGGGCGGTCGTTGGCGGCCGCGGCCGCGGCGCGGAGCGCGGAGCTAGCCTCACTAGGGCACTGAGCCGGTCGCGGGTGGTCGCGGCCGGCAGCGCGTCCACCGGCGAGTGTCGGTCACAACAAGCTTGAAAACGGACCGTCTCGACGTACATAATACGTCGAGATGGTAAGCAAGCTTCTTCCCATCAACGGGAGCATGAAGCTGTTGAAGTCTGTAAAGAAGCATGTCGAGGCTGCCGGCCTATCATGCATCGGCGATACGGGTCTGAGCCACCTAAATCAACATCTTACAATAGTTGTTGTGGCGGTCAACAAAGCAAACTGCTATCTGGCGTTCTCGTGATTCGATTGGACATGGGTTTATTGCGAGCGGCGCCAGCCACGTGGGACGTCGGATGACTCTGATCAGCTCTGAGTTTCATGCGGGAAAGATGTTCTGGCTCAGCTAAGGTTTTAAACCTTAGGCTCTCGTTCCCTACCAGCAAGGCCGCGATGCGTCGTTCATGCACGAAGCAGCTTTGAAATGTGAAAGGATTCCTTGTTCTGCGCCAAATCACCATGTCTGATTGCAATCTGCAGCAGAGACACGGAACCTCGGCACTGAGCAACCGACTAGAACCCAGCAGATTCAAAGCAGCCGCGGTCAAAGTTTCTGAATTTGAGAAGTCTTCAAGCTTCAAAAGGAGTTGAACTCGAATAATTGGGTTGTTCCGCTGGTAGATGGCGACATGCACGATTGCTTCTGTATGCTCCCAAGGTTTGTCTTTCCAAAAGCCGCGTCTGTGGAGAAGCTCTCCCGCTTCGCTCCACCCTCTTCCTCACATTCCGTTCCGTTGTCTCCCTCCCACCGGCAAGTCCGGAGGCCCTCTTCCGTTTCTGGGTTCACGCTTCAACTTGGAACGAGGGAGGAAGAAAGCCCCTGCTAAGAATCAAAAGAAACAAGGAAAGTGCGCGCGCAGGCCAGTCGCGATGGTGCGCATCTCTGGCGACTTCTCACCCGGGGCCTCCATGGTCGGGGGACTTCTCCTGGGCATAGCGACCAGCCTCCACCTGGCGCTCAATGGGCGTATCACGGGCGCGTCTGGCATCATCAGAGGTAAGCGTGAAGTGTTATGATAATGTGAGAAATACACAAGAGTTTCTCGAGCCCCTCTACATCAGATATGAGGAATTGGGCCTCTTATCCTTCAGCTTCACGTTGAGAACTTTCTATCTTGACATGCACACATAGCTGTGTTATGACACGAGAAGGAATCTGCTGCATGCTTTTGCTTTGTAGGGTTGGACGGCTTTCCAAACCCCTGAATGTAAGGTGACGGTGTAGAAGCTGCATTCAGAATTCCCATTATGATACATGAGTGCTCTGACAACGGAGTACCTTCCATTGTGCTTGAGCTTTTTCTATCTTCTGAAGGCCGCGCCGTTACGTCTTGCATGCAACGCTGGCTTTGAGACAAAATTTTGGCGTTATGAAGAATTTGAGCAATGAAAACAAAACTTCCGAGCTCTCTGTGCCTTTCAGAATCATCAAGTTGATAACCTAACTCCCTTGTGCACCTTCTGGTTCGTCAGGAGGGGTTAGTCGAGTTACTCCGTTCATCGTTCGTCTTTCGCCCTTCTGCCGAACGTCAGATGTATTGTCAGATTACAGCGTGCTCTACAGCACGATCTGAACTTTTTAGAAAACATTCCAGCAGATCCTAAATGGCTGAAAGAGCATGGGAGTGCCTCAACAACCGAAACCACTACAAGATCTTCATACTTACTAATCCAACGCCACCCGACTTGCATTCAGAGTCACTCAACCTTTGTACGCGCTCTTTGCGCGCGCGCAGGCGCCTTCTTCGGTGACGCGGGCGCCACGTGGAAGCGCGCGTTCCTGGGCGGCGTCGGCGTGGCCGCGGTCGCGTGGGAGCTGCTCCAGCCGCAGGTCTACGGCTCGCTTCCGTACAAGGGCCTCGTTCCGGCCGTCCTCGCCGGAATGCTGGTCGGCGCCGGAACCAAGGTGCGCCACAACATTGCCACCAGTGCGTTTTGCAGATTGGAGAAGAGCAGGGAGGATTTTGGAAGACCTGTTCGGAAGCTCTTGTTGGTATTGAGTATAATCTGTGTGTGCCAAATAGACCTCTTGCAGCTTTCTCCATGAGCAGAGTGGGTCCTCAATGAACCGGACAGCATGCGCAGTAGGCCAACGGATGCATTCTCGTACATAATTGAGGAGAACTCTGGTTTATGCAGAATCGAAGGACTTATCCGAGCAGATAGGTATTTCACAAAACGTGTACGAGCAGATATTTCACAAACCGTGTACACAAAATCTGTAGTCGACCACGTTTTGTGCGCAGCTGAATACGAGTCTGCAGCCAGCAGTGCCCAACTGACATTTTCTTACCCGTATAGGACCACCGGTGACAATATCTGTCATTCTCGGGCCCGGTTCGCTCAACCGACTGGTTGCCCCGCAGGCGGCCAACGGGTGCGCGAGCGGGCAAAGCGTGCGCGGCCTGCCAATAATTCACCGCCCCAATCAATCCAACATCCAGCCACAATGTATCTATTGTAAAGCACTCCGGTGGATGACATTGTTACCCGCGTTGACCAACCGGCCTCCCTTTTTGCGCAGCTGGACACAAATGCACGAGCGGGCCCGCGTGTGCGGCCTGATATTTCTTTTGCACCCACAACGACAATTTGTCGCAATCTTTCTTAAAAGATAAGGCGGGACGACCACCGAGCGCTTTTGGTGCGCAGCTGGCCAACGGCTAGTCAAGCGGGCAGGGCATGTGCGGCTTGCCAAACCTTCAGGAACCGGATCCTTCATGAAATATACTTTCTCACATACTCAAAAGAACCAACGGACCTCTCTTTGTGTGACAGCTGGCCAACGGGTGCACGAGCGGGCACGGCGTGTGCGGTCTGCCCCGATTGTCGCCGCGCTCGTTTGTCGCCGTCGCGACCTTCATGGCGACGGGCGCGGCTACGGCGATCGCGGCGACCAGGACCAACGGGTTCGGCCTGGGGGACAAGGTGGCGGTCGCCCACGAGAAGTGGCCCATCATTACAGCGATCTACGGGGCAGGTGAGGGGACAATCCTGGCAGAACTAATTTTTGCCGATGTAAAGACTCCAAGCGGCTGAAATTGACAATTGTGTTTTGAGATTCTCCGGGCGAGGATAAGTGCAGGACTCTCAAAGAGCCCTGAACGGTCTGCACACACAGTTTTATTTTGAAGGGAGCGCGGAATGCACCGCAAAAGAATTGTTTCATTTGTGCAACCATGTGCTTCCAAGCTTGCCGTCCAGAGGGCTTTCACAGCACGCCTGCCTTCCTGCCTTCCTCGCTCGCAACAGCCCGGCTGAACCGCCCGCCTCAGCGTTGTGCACATCTTCAGACCTGACGAATAGCGATACAATTCCGCACAAATCGCACCCGCGTCAGTACCTTGCGAGATTGGAAGAGGTGCAGAGTCGAAAGGATGCTGCGGCCCAAAGTGTGGAGTCATCTTGTACGGTGTCCACTCTTTGCCCGTGGCGATCTAGGCTCACTTCGCTCCGGCCATGTTGCTGTGCAGCGTCTCTGGCGGTTCCTGCCGCCGTTCTGGCGCCGGCCCTGACGGAGCGGGCTCGGCGGAGCGGCGCGGAAAACAAGAAAGAAAAGGTAAGAAGATCCGTTCCAAAGCTTGGTCTCTTTCCTGAACCCGATTCAATGGTATCCGCCGAAGAATCTTCGAGTCCTTAGTCATAGTACGAGCTAAAGGATGTCGAACTGGCCGCTGGCATTGACTTCACAGCTTTTTGAGCGGGTCAAGTTTTGATAGCGCCGCGACCGTTCGAAAGCGTCGGCGAATTGGTCGTAAATGACAATTAATGCATCTTTTCTTCGGTTGATTGTTTTGCAATAACCAGATTCTTTGCGAGCCTTCTCAACTCCTTTCTCCCACCAGGAGCCCTCCACTGCCGAACCCCCGGCCTCTTCCGGCGAGGGCGGCGCGACGCGCAGGAAGGGCGCGCGCGCAGAAAGCGAAAGCGCGAGCGCAGAGGCGTACAAAGTGCCCGGGGGGAGGACGGGCCCATCGGGGGAGACTCCCGAGACCCTGTTCGTGTCCTTCGTGTGCGGGCTGCTCTTCGGAACGGCTCTCGCCGTGGGACGCATGTGCGTTTTCCATCCCTGCAAACAACTGGTTGTTCCATCTGATTCTCTTTCTGAAGGTATGTTGCAGTTGTGTTCTTTGTTCTCAAAGCTGCTTCTTCCAATTTTCTTCACAGCTGTTTTCGCAATCTATTCCGGTGATTCATGGTTGAGTTGTTTTGGACGACCTCACCAGTGAAAGTCATAAAGAGAGTTAGTTTTGAGGGTTAACTCTGCAGATCAATACTTGGCATCAGTACTTAGCATTTTGTCATTCAAGGGCGCTCCGTTCAGTACCGGCAACATGCTACAGGACAGTGTTTCCTTTCAAGTCGCTGAAGTTTAGGCGAAGACCCCACTAGCGAGTAGTCTTACTCCGTTATGTTCGACTCTGGCAGGACTAACCCGGCCAAGGTGATCAACTTCCTGAACGTGGCGGCTGCCTGGGACAAGCGCCAGGGGGGGTGGGACCCCAGCCTCGGCCTCGTGAGTAACCGGACCCCCCTGGCCCGACCGTCCAGACTTATTTCTGAAGCTTTTGGGCAGAGTGTATCGGCATTTGCTAGCCTTCCAAAGGTAGAAGGGTTTGAGAAGATGGTGTTCTTTGATAGGAAGTCGAAGATGTTTGAGAGGAAAAGTAAGGGCGCTTTTGGCGCTTGGCGGGATCGCGCCAACATGCTTGAAGTTGTCAGAGCAGAACTGAATTTCCCGTGGGTTCAGTTCTCAGCCGCAAGTACTCGATGAAAATTCCCCATACATCCCATTTTATAGAATCATAGAGACTTTACAACGGAGATTACCAATCAGTTTTCAGGGCTTGTCTTCTAAGGCTTGAGTACGTAAATTCCACGCTAAGCCGACAGGAGCAATAAGTATGAGGAGTTGATGGAGGAAGCTGAATGCACACCACCTTTTCCCACCATTTTGCAGCTCATGTGTGCGGCCGTGCTGTTCAACCTGATCTCCTTCAACCTCATCCTCAAAATGCCCCGGCCGCTGCTGAGGGACAAATTCGACGTGCCGCAGAGTAAGCCGTCGATCGCGCGTTTAGTCCATATGATTCTTTTCCGCGACGGTCCAACGGTTGCTCATGTTTCACGTCACTTCCACCTGAGCAACCCGTTCCATACACTTTCTTTTCGTATGAGAGCCACGAATGGCACACCTGAGTTGAGTTTCACGAGTGAAGGTTTTCAAGTATTCAACCAGGTAGAGTAGATTGAGTCGGCTGACGTTCCGTGCTTGTTACTTTGCTGCAAGCTTGATACAAACATCAGACACTGCATCTTACTCACTTCTCGAATCATCAATTCGTCCGGGGCCTTCCAAAACTCCTTGCCCCAGAGTCGAGGGACCTTCACCTTTAGCTGACGCCATGTTGGTGACGTGGCAGATAAGCAGATCGACGCGAAGCTGGTGGTCGGCTCCGCTCTCTTCGGCGTCGGGTGGGCTCTCTACGGGGTCTGCCCCGGACCAGGCTTCATGAACGTCGGCACCGGCAGGGTGAGCACCGCTCAGATTCCCGTTTTGGACCGCCATAGCTTCTTTTCAGCCAGGGGACTTCCTCGGCTTATCTTTAGGAGTACCCAGTTACTTTCTTCAGCTTACACAAACTCAAATCAGACTCTCGATTCGCTTTGTCGACTTGTATAATATTCTCCACGCACCTTGGGTTTCCCCTTTGAGAGTCGAGCAAGAACGTACTCTGAAAGCTCCGTCACGCTTACGAGTTTGGGCGACCATGTTGTCGCAACAGCTGATGACCTCGAAAAATTGGACTCGTTGGGATCAGGTGGGGCTCGTGAAATCATTCCTTAGAGGACTGAGCGGAGAAATTCGTGGATGGCTGCCTGATGTCTTTAGACAAGCGCTGACGTCACCCTCCAATCTTCCGGTGGCTGCAGGTCTCGTTCCTGGCGTGGTTTGCTGCTCTGCTGGGCGGCACGCTAGTTGCCATGAAGCTCGTCAAGTGACGTATCTTTGCGAGTCCACACTTATGGATTCGTGGTACTCTGTGGTAGTCTGTGATACTTTGAGCGCTTAGTCGCTAGGCACTTTGAGCGCTTAGCAAACGTGGTGTTAAAAGTAGGCGATGCAGTAGATACGCGATGACAATGGTATGCGGCTGAACGGGCGTTTCAGCGGCGACAAGGTTACCCGAAGGTAGAGCTGGCGGTTTTTAGAACAATGACTTCGCGTTTGCACAAGGTGGGTTCTGCACAGGAAAGAAGGCCGGAAATGTCAAGAATACGGTTATCTCGACAGGTGGGTAGTCTTGACCTCCCCCCCGTTCGGTGCATCCTTGTCTGGGGGTTTGGGGGAAAGGTACAGTTTGAAGCGAACGATCTGTGGACTAGCTTGAAGGGTGCATCAGTCTCATGGAACATGATGGGCGTCCGCGATGCATGAATTAGTGAAGAGCTGGTGGTATTTGGCATGGCAACATGCATTGCATGGCTTACTTTTTCAGGTCAGATGCCATCCAGCAGAGTGCCCGTATCCATCCGCAAAGTGCCTGTACGTTGTCTCATGATTGACTCCTCGTAACTACAGTAACGGGAACATCATCGGCACAAGAGAAGTGATTGTGGGCTCGTGCACCGAGAAACATGCCGTTAGCTTCGAAGCAAGCAGACGCTTTTTGTAGTATGTGACAACACGCTAGCAGGTTCTGCGCGTGGGCCGTCAGATTGGCCATGCATCATGTCAGATGCTGGGGCAAATAGATCTCCGCATAAGTCTATCCGCACGGCTGCGTGCAATATTGAAGTGTTCAACATCAACGCCTGGAACCAGATGCATTTCAGGTAATTTGTAGTGTGATTATGCACGGTAATCTAGCCCGTGCCCACGCTTTTGCATAGGCTGTTGACTATAGCCTATGAAATGAGTCATCTGTGTCGGCCTGTGAGTCAGGGTTAAGCTTAGTTCACGTCCGCGTGTACCTTTCATGACATACACCAGCGCTTGTGGGACGTCGTGGCTCTCATGTCACTGGCCGGAGTCATCTTTCTCAGCTAGCATATGATGGCTTGACAACTGGCACCATATAATCCGGCACTTGTCAAATGAAAGGGGTTCTAAAAGATGACAAACCCCAATCAGAGTGAAGCTCCGCAGCACGACGTAAAGCAGGAACTCACTGAAAAATTTTCCTTGCTCTTGTCTGCTTATACTTACGCTCTACGTTGCTCCTCCCGCAGATGCTTAAAGTCCGCGGACAGCTCCTCATCTTGCAAAGACGTTAGCGTTTCCATATTCAATTCTCAAAGACGCACACGCTTTTGTAAGTTGGTGTCCTCCTCCAATGCCTTGAGCCGCTTCTCCGTCAGTATAGCCCTACCATCTTCTTGTTCCCGTGGTTTTACGGGACGGCATTTCTCCTCCCGTGCACGCTTCTTCAGAATTTCCATTTCCGCTTCAAAAAGCTCGAAGAGCTTTTGCGTCGCTTTCAGCTCCTCCACCAGCTCCTCCAGCCGATCATTATATTCCTCATGCGCCATCCGTGTGATGAGCACTGTGTCAATGGTCACATGAACAAAAAGCAAAAGTCCTTTCCGAAAAGATCACCGCCGGCCCAGGTCGCGTCGGGTCATCCATGTCGCGGCCGCACCCAGGGTTAGTGAGGGTTTAACACGAGCTCATGCAGATGTAAATAGGCCCGCGGGGCGGCCGCGGCTCTGGCACTTGCTCTTACTTCAGTTGCATCTTGTAAAACTTACATCAGGCTTGTTTACGTCCGGCATGATCGCTATTAATATGTTCTGGCTGATCATGGATCAACATGTACAAACCTAGAAAGGGGCGTGATCATGCAGCGCACATGCAAATGTTATCCCGACCGGACGTGCCTCGTACTGAGCTAGACGTTATCTAGAATTCGCTTGTGCGGACATATGTATCTGCTTTTGTGGCCGCCGTTATGTTGCGGACATGTGTACGGTGACTCCGCGCACATATGATGCCGGGCATGTGCTTATAATCGCAAGTCAGCATGGGTCGGACTGAAAGCAGTTGTCATTTCTGTCACTATATGAGCAACGACTCGTGTGCACAAGTGCGCACAAGTGCAGGCTAGTAATGGGCAGTCAATACGCAGATGCACGCTTATGGAGCTGAGAGTGTGTCGAGTGCCGATTGCCACCAGGCACCTTATCGATAGAATGATTACAGGCCCGCCAGCCTTCTTAACGAAGTCAGAGTCACTAAGATATCCTTCATCCGACTAGCTGAGCCACAGTCTCGTTCTGAGAGCTCGCAGCCTCCTCGTTTGCCGCTTTCTCCCGCATAATTGCGAGCCCTTTCTCGCGATTCAACCTATGCCGCTCCTCTCGCTTCTGCGGGTCATTCTTTCTCCTTTGTACCTCTAACCAAATCAGCAGATTCGTTATGTCGGCCGACCGCACCCCCCCTATCCTAGTTGCCTGGCCGATCGTCAGCGGCCGAATCTTAGTCAGCTTTTCCCGCGCTTCCATGCAGATCGTGCTGATCGCAAAGTAGTCGATGTTGTCCGGAATTCGTTTGTTTTGCTTGGACGTCACGTTGTCCATCTGTTGCTGCTGCCGCGCTATGAACCCCGAGTACTTGATATCGATCTCCGCGCATTCCTTTTCTACACTAGAAAGAGCTCCGTTTCCGTACCCGTATTCGTCCAACATGTCGTAGTGCAAATGAGGGCGTCGAAGGACCTCTTCTAGGGTTACTTTTCGGTTTATGGGCTGTTTCGACTGCTCGATAACGGCTTGGCCCAGGGGCGTAGTTTCCTCGATGCGGGTTGATGCTAACCGCAACTTTTCCTCAGCAATCCGGCCCTGCTTCTCCTCGAACAGCCGCCATCGCCGTTCATCAATGAGGCCCTGCAAATTTGACAAGGGCACGGGGTTACGGATTGACCAAGAAACACCCTTGTGAACCACAGCGTCGAACATTTATACAGTCTACTGTGAGTGCCCACTTCTGCAGTCATACTTGAGGCGTCGAAACAAACAAATACCAAGATCAGAGTTGACTGGTGTCGCACGATTGCTGACCTCCCTGCCACGTGCCAAGTCGGAACCAAAAACGTCGGTGCGTCCACTTTGCAAGGCAGTGATAAGCAATCTGAACGACTCGGATTGCACGTTTATATAGTCACAATCGTCCAGAGAAGCGCAGTGAATACGTTTTCTGCCACGTCTCAAAGCGGCACGGGGACCGTCTGATTATCCCTGTCAGCACACCCCCTTGGAACCTTTGTGGGCTGTCAGATTTGGCAGCGACCGCCCTATCAAGCATCTGATCCAAACGGGATGAGCAAAGCCTTACAAGCAGAATGTCAACCAGTTCCAGGTTGTCAAACACCGGGAAAAGGGCTCTGACTAGAAAACCTAGAAAAGTGACTGGCCTAGAACACTGAGTCATGTTACGTTTGACACCAGGCATCGCCCGAGCCCGTCCTCACCACTTCACGCCCGAGCGGTGTCAGGCGGCAGTCTGCGTTGTCTGACCGCAACAGGAGTCGATACTCCGAACGGCTGGTGAGCATGCGGTACGGTTCCCGCAGGTCCTTTGTCACCAGGTCATCGATCAGCGTGCCCAGATAACTGCTCTCTCGGGGGAGCACCACCAGCGACTTTTTGGCTGCCAAAAGCGCCGCGTTCATCCCGGCCAGGATGCCCTGGGGAAAGGAACAAGCAGATGATGGGGCCTTTTTAAAGGGGTGGTCGGAACTAGAAACGAAAAGGCAAATTGGACTTTCCGGCGGCCAGAGGGGCTGCGTTTATCACGGCAGAATGCTCTCGAGAGGTGGAAAAAACCACAGTTGAATTGAGGAGATTGACCAAAAGGAGGAAGAGCTTGGAACGAGAAGAACCGGGGAGGTCAGACGAGGAAACTTCGATGATGGAGGTTGAGCAGAAGTAGGTGGCATTCCCTGAGCGGCACTCGTAGCCTGCCTGGCAAATTAGGAGATCTTGCAGCCAATCTGGAAAGTTACAGTGAAGCCGCTTACTTTGAAAGAAATCGGGTCGCTACGGGCACAACAAGCGCAAAGTGAGAAAATAAGATTGAAATTCGCAGAGCCAGCACAGGCAGCAGAGGCTGCCAGAAAGTACTTACCTTCTGAGAGTGTTATAGCTTCAAAAAGCAAAAGTTCCGCAAACCAAGCAGCGGCAATAAGCGCCCACCTGCGCGGCCGCCTCCTCATAGCCCGTCGTCCCGTTGATCTGCCCACTGAAGAACAGTCCCTCCACCTTCTTCGTCATGAGCGTCGGGTGGCACTGGTGCGCCGGCAAAAAATCGTACTCGACTGCGTACGCCGGACGGAGCATGGACACGTTCTCGAGTCCGGGAAGCGTCCGGAGAAGCGCCAGCTGGAGGCGTTCGGGTAGGCCCGTGCTGAAGCCTTGCACGTACAGCTCGGGCGTGGAACGGCCTTCGGGCTCGAGGAAGATCTGGTGCGACTCCTTGTCCTTGAAGCGCACAATCTGATGGGGCCAGAATTTCAGTGTCAGAGTAACAACGAAGTCGCAAGGGCCGAAGGTGAGGGGTTGAGTGTCATAAAGATTCTCGAACGCGGCCGATCGTGCGGAACGGGAAGGCTGATCATGGCGAAAAGGCGGCGCTAATGGTCACCGGCAAAAGATGAAATGCTGCTATAGCTCTTTCCGACCAATCCCCTAGAACCTCTATTCAGCAGCAGACTGACCGACTCACTCTAGTAATCACACCAAAACTAGGAAGTTGGTTGGAAATTAGTTTTCACCTCAACGGATACATAAGAGTTGCAGAAAGCTGACACCTTCAGAGCGCCCCTTCCTGTACAACGTCCGATATATAGACGCAAAGATGATGCCGAGAAGAAGAGCTTTCGGATGAGTAACTACTCGTTATGCTCTTTGCCCCTCGATTCTGTTCACTTCGCTGCCTTCAACTCTTGGAATCTCAATCACCGCTCAGCCCTTTCCACGACTCTCACCTTATCCTCAATAGACGGGCAGTAGCGTGGCCCCTTCGCATCCACCCACCCGCCATACGTCGGCGTCTCGTGCAAGTTATCCTCGATCAGCTTATGTGTTGCCGCCGTAGTTCTCGTCAGCCAACAGCTCATTTGTTCCAGCTCTTGATGCGCCTCCGGGTCGAAGCTGAAATAACGTAGTTCGTCGTCTCCGGGCTGTTCCGTCAGGTGCCGGAAGTCGACGGTGCGCACGTCGACGCGGGAGGGAGTGCCCGTCTTGAGGCGGTCGGTCTCGAAGCCGAGGCTCTGGAGGTGCTCCGTGAGGCCCTGTAGAGACAAGTGTGAGCAAACGAACTCAGGTACGATAAAAGCTCAAATGAGTGGAAACTTTCCAAGGATACCTACAAGAGGCTAGAGGCGATACGAGCGGGGAACAACCCGAGCACAGGTTTAAGGTTGTGACCAGCAGCTCAACGGCACCGCGTCAACATTATTTGACATGCCAAAGTTGCATTAGCAACAGGGACGCTTTGACACCCAAATTCAACTGTAACAGTGCTATCAAAAGCTTTCTTCCGTTTCGTTCAAATCCGTGTCCACTTTCTTACAGACAATGTACCCACCTGCCGCATAGACCCGCAAAGATGCCAGGGAAAATCCGACCCTTACATGGACTTGCACCCGCGAAAAATTAGTATTCTAATCCCCAGACTCCGCATGCTTACCACGGAGGCCCCTTCTCCTGCCCGGCCCGCCGACATCGACTTGCGCCCCACCCAGATGGTGCCGTTCATGAACGTCCCGGTGGTTACGACCACCGCCGGCGCCAAAAAGTCCATTCCGAAGAAGGTCTTGACGCCTTGCACCTCGTCGTTAGGGCCCACAATGAGCTCGGTGGCCATTGCTTCGCGGATGAACAGATTCGGCGTGCTGCAGGGGGACCGAAAATGAGCAGTCAGACACTCGGAACCAGGTTCCGACAAGGTATGCGTCAGATGCTTGGGCTAGTCAAGAGCTGAGAACTCGGTTGAAACTTTGACCAACTTCTAAAGTGGTATGCAAGAAAAGTGGGAAGGCGAAACGGAGAACAAACGTAGATAAACACAAGGCCTGAAGTGCTGCATCATCCAAATAGTGAGTCATTTTGGCCCCTAACGATTATTAGTAACATTCTTTGAAATCTTTACCATCTGACATACAAAACCGTTCAGGAGGGTGAATAGAAGCGGGTGTGCACGTAATGAAAGAGCTGGAAGTTTGAACTTCGCATCTCCAGCTGCCGCATCACAAGCAAGGCGGCCAGACCACAAACGGATCTTGGTGAAGTCGATGATGGTACCAGATTTACGGCAATGTGAGAAAGATCTGCAACATGTTGAGTGGGCCTCACTTCTCTACAACTGTGCGCATCTCCTGTGCGTACTGCTTCTTGTCCGTCTGTGCTCGCAGCGCCCACACGGCAGGCCCCTTGGAGCGGTTCAGGATGCGCTTCTGAAGGTACGTTTTGTCGGCCATTCTGCCAATCTCGCCCCCAAGGGCGTCCACCTGATAGAGAAGCAGAGTGCTTCAGCTTGGGCTCTCTTGGTGATCTGATGTTTCCTCTCGTCAGTGCGATGCACTGAGACGTTGGCCAAGGGATGCAAGCAGAACCGATGGCACTGGGTTCAGGCTTTCCCGCAACTTCGAAGAGATGGGAAAACATTGCTTGCAATCTCTTTTCACAGGGGCACAGTATAACAATGCACCTTAGGAGCCAATTTCAATATTTGCAGAAAGTGCCAAAGAACGAGCGCATTGCAGGATCATAAGAGCGTGACGTACCTCATGAACCAGCTGGCTCTTGGCAGGCCCCCCGACGGCCGGGTTGCACGGCTGCCAAGCAATCCTGTCAAGATTGAGCGTCAGCAGGAGCGTTCGCGCCCCCATCCTCGCAGCCGCAAGCGACGCTTCGCACCCTGCGTGACCACCTCCCACTACAATTACGTCGAACCTCTCCTCATCAGACAGAAACGTTGGCGGTTCTGGCTTGACCCCTGTTTCCGAGGAAGGAAAGCTGCCAGCAACTGTGCTTGCTTCTGGAGAAGTTCGGGTCGTGTCGGAGGGAGTGGAGGATGAATCATGAGGGGGAGGTTCGGCGGGGCGGCCGGATGGCCCCGCAGGCTCTGTACCGGTCTGCCCGTCTGCGCGGAGGTTCCACCCACGAGCGCTGACGTCATCGCTGACTGCATGGGTGGCAAAGGACCTGACCGCAGGCCTTATTTTTGTGGCAGGCTCCTCTGAGAGCATCTGTCTGCTGGCTTCAAATGATGAGAAAGAGTGCAGTTTGGCTGGGGACATATGCTGGCGGCATTGAAGGCCACATGCTTCTCCCCAAACCCTAAAACTGCCGCTGCTGAGCGTGGTGATTCGTGCTTGAACCTGCAGCTTTCTTTTTGAAAGGAAAGAAGAGTTGACAGGGCAGCTTGACACAATCGAACCTTCCAACAACGAGGCGTGCTTTGCAAGCCGAGGTTGCTGGGCGCCGGGGCCCTTGCGAGCGGACAAAGACGCCATGCTGTTCACCAATCGTCTTGCACAGCCCCTCACCGCTGGAGAACGCAGAGAGATGGCTTGCATACCGTCCATTTGCAGAACGCCCTCAACAATTGTCCGCCATTTGCAACGAAGTCTGCTCGACCATTTTTGAAGTGGAAGTTCATCAGTTCCCCAGCCGCCAGCCAATGAAGGCAGATCCGATTGTGCACGGGAATGCTTGGCCGCTAACTGGATCATTACCGCTCTGTGTCTAATTGCAGAGAACGGTATCTCGGAACTCCACAATCCCGGCCGGACACTCGATGAATAGGTCTGAAGCGTGTCTGATAAGTGGGGACCGGCACGTTCCGGCAACTTCCGGCCAGGCTCTGAGCTAGCAAATTTCTCTCTTCGGTTGTGATGCGGTATGCACCTTCTCTCTAGTTGCTCCTCCTGGACCAGCTCAGCGCTGTACATGCTGAGCTGCGGCCGGGGACCTCAGACGTCACATTGTCCTTTCCTAGACGTCACATGGTGTTCTTCCTCCTGTTCCTCAGGTGCTCCTGCAGTTGAAGAAAGGCAGAAAGCAAGGACGTGGCAAGGAGGAGGCCCGGCGAAACGAAGGTCAGTTTTGCCCTGAGAACGAGCTCTGGTCAATGAGACATGGGCGCTTAATCCTTTCGCTTGGCAGAGCGGCGAGATTGAGAATGGCCAGCGAGAAGGTCAGCAGTGGGGCCTTGGCTGCAGGAGCTGGTGCACCAGCTCACCACGTGCCTGGAGGGGAGGGCTTCCGCAACCCTTGGCCTTCGTTCAATCAAAAGCAGGGACTGCTTGTGTTTGGAAAGCTCATGCTTCAGGTGAGGCTGCGTGATTCCTGCATCAGAAGACAGCCTGCATCTTTGATTCCACGCAAGCATCGCGTCTTCTGTGGAGGCAGAGGCTGATTAGCTGCTGGTTCCTGTCTTCTGATGGCAGAGATGACTTGTCAGCTGCTCTTTTCTTCTAGCTTACAATCTGACCAGTGCATTGAGAAAATGGAAGGGGGCTTCTAATCCATCAAGATTTGTGCAACTCCAATCTGCACCCCAACTTGTATCTTGGTTCCATCTAGATTATCGATTCAGTGCTTTTTTACGTTTTCCTTCTCTACTCTCAACAGGATTGGAACAGTAAAACTGCCAAGGTCACCACAGACATGGTCAAAGCCCTGCAACCTGTGGAGCCCGACCTTGAAAAGATTATTGCTCCTCCAAACAACAAGATTCAGCTTACTTGGATAGGTGAGTGGTGCCAATCATCAGGCGGCTCCGCCATCTTGCTCAGCGACTCCACTTGGCTCGCCCGGTCCCACAAGCGTGTGTCTCGTCCTTTTCTTACCACGTGCATGTTTGGAAGTGAGGGCAGAGAGATCTGTTGGAGCATATGATAGAACACAAATCAAGTATGCCCGCTACATTGAGCTTGCTTTGTTATCAACTAGTAGTCAAGGTGGTAGATTCAACTCCACCACTTATCAACTCCTATTCTCTTCAATCTTCACAGGACATGCGACATATCTGATGCAAATGGAGGGCCTGACAATCCTGACAGATCCAGTCTGGGGGGACCGTTGCTCTCCCTCAAAGTGGTTTGGACCTAAAAGGTAAGGAGTCTCGACTTGTGGTTCTGTAAAGTGAGTACTACTTGTACTGTGTTGCAGCGAAAATACAATGAGATCTGAGTAGGATTCTCAGTGGTTGGATTCCAAATGCATTCTGATATCATGCTTCAGACTCATCCGCAAACTAAGCGTTTGCTTAGCGTTGCAAGCAATTGCAAACTTGATCAGGGTTTCCGTTCTGTTTCGAGCTTGCAGATCAGCTCCGTTCTTACGATGGCTCTTGCCGTCAATACCTTTCTGGCTCTCCCATTGCAGGCATGTGCAACCCCCTCTCCCTCTCAGCAAGCTCCCAGAAGTGGACGTCATCTTGATCTCTCACAACCACTACGACCATCTCGATGTGGACACAATCAAGACCATGGGAAACAAGCCCTTGTACCTCGTTCCCCTGGGCTTGAAGAAGTTCTTCACTGATCTGGGTATCAGCAACGTGGTGGAGCTCGACTGGTGGCAAGAGAAGAAGCTCACCTCCAAGGGAGTCGAAATAACTGCCACCTGCACCCCGGCCCAGCACTTCTCGTCAAGGACCGCTTTTGACAGGAATAAGGTGAGCAGAAGTGAGCTGAATTGGGCATACGTTTTCCTCTTCCCTCTCTTTCCTCATGATCGTGAAGAGGTCTGTGCAAAGCTCGTTTCACCATTATACTACTGTTCAGTTATCACTTTAGAAGTGATTCGGCTCGTTCTCTCTGGCTTATGATTGTCCAGGATTCACTCCGTCGCTGTGTGAATAGGTTTGCCGTTCTGGATTCATTGTCACCAGTCAAGGATCAAGAAGGTGTCACATCTGCCCTCCAATCCGTTATTAGCATGACTGCGAGGAAACTCTTCTCTCGGTCACCGTCACTTCTCAACGTTTAAGACATGCTTCTGCAGACGCTGTGGTGCTCCTGGGTAGTCCGAGGGCCCAAAAGACGTGTCTGGTTTGGGGGAGACACGGGTTATCGGTCTGTGCCAAAGGAACGAACGACCACGAGTGATCCGCCTCACGTGCAGAACGGTAAGCAAAACTTCCTTACATGCAGGACGAGGACGGATTTTGAGACTTTTTCTGGTGGCTTGAAAATCACATCTGGAGAATCATTTCCTTACTGAATATTGTCCTTTATATAAGTTCGTCGTGTACGTTCTACGGAACTCTGCCGCCCTCAACTTACATCCACTTCCAATCTGAGATGAAGTTTGTTCTCAGTCTTGCGCAAAGCCATCCTTCACGCTTTGGCTGCCGAAATTTGTTCTCTGCCGTAACATCGCCCCGTTTTTCAGAATAGTAAGATAAAAAGTAAGATGAAAAGTAACGGTCGAATCTAACGGCGGTTCCACGGACTGCAGAGGGTCTTCCCGTCTGCCCTGCCTTTGCGGAGATCGGCGAGCGGTATGGCCCCTTCGACGTGGCGCTTATCCCAATTGGTGCCTACGGACCTCGCTGGTTCATGAGCGCTGTGCACTGCTCCCCAGGTACGTGTACACGGGTCACCACCAGTCTCCTTTTTGTTGCATGCTCAAGCTCTTCTCGTTGCGTGCTTAACGGTTTCTCCGAACACCACCCGCACTATGTCGCTCAACATGGTATTGACCTCTGGCAAAATGTTTTGCGCATCTTTCAAGACAGTTGAAAGTTAGAAGAGGAGCGAATTCTTGCACACGTCCAATAATACAGGGTTTGATAAGCATGTTTCGAATAAGGATTGCGCATCGGAGCTTCAGACACGTCAACCTGATAGCTCCTCATGTCCCGTATGCGTGTATCTTGAACCTGTCTGTTCTAATACAGAGGACGCTGTCGCAGTCCACGTGGACGTCAAGTCGAAGCAATCGGTAGCGATGCACTGGGGCACCTTTTCCTTGACGGACGAGCCGCTCTTGGAGCCTCCAGTACGACTAAGCAAGGTGAGATGTAGGGCTGTCCGCGCAAAGTGCGGGGTCCCGTCAAGATGTTCACAACGCAACTGCTAGTCAGAATAGGACATGTGCGCCTCGTCAAGTAACTACTGCAATCTGCTTGTTTCGTAAACTGCATTCGTGCTGACAGCCTATGATAGCGTACGAAGGACGACCCTCGCTTTTCCAGTCCTTACGAGTCCTTTGCTCCGTCTCATGGCGCTTCTGAAAACTGTGAAGAATGTTGAAAGATAACGAATCAGTACGCTTTCTCTTCGTGCTTTGCGCAGGTCTCCATGTCTGGGCATCACAAATGGATCCTAACCCCCGCTCGTTGCCCATACTGCAGGAACTGCAAAGGCTGAGGATTGAGCCAGAGTCGTTCATTGCGTTGAGACACGGGGAAACTCGTCAATTCGTTTGATAGCTCAAAATGAAACTTGCACCTGGCTATGTAAATACGGGGTCCTTCGTTCCTGACGTGCATGTTAGTAATATTGGTTGATCACAGTCTTACTTCTTGATTTATGAAGGAGGTTGTCTGCATCGTATGCTCGAAAGGCTTTTTTGAAAGCGCATGCTTCGACGAAAAGCGCCCCTGGATGGACCTGACATGGCTTAATTTTAAACATATGTTTGTAAAGGGCTCTTGAGCAAGACCGACAGAAAGCTTCGGAAGAGCATAGGAGTACTTCTGACCAAGGGTTGAACGTTGAGAGGATTTGCCCTGCTTCTTCGTGCCTCTTAAAGCTGTACATTGTCGCTGGTGACGCTTTGATTTTGACCCGGAAGTTGTAAGACGCAGTATGGTCACATGGGTAGAGCGGTTGTAGCGGGCGTTGTAGCTTGTTCCTTATTACTATGGATGTAGCACGTGGGCCTAATTTGCCGTTTGGGTGCTACATAACACTTGAAGGCCATATGCTGGCATGTCGATTGATGCATGCCAGCCGAACGCATCATGTCTCTGGTCAAGTTTCTTATGATTTTACATGGCCTTGCCGACTGAGAGTTGGGCGCATTACCGTAAACTAATTGACGTACCGTATAGTCTCCAATTCGCGTGCTCTCTTCAGTGCGAGTTAGTGGGTGGGAACGGTACTATATGCAAGGCGTAGTCCATTTTGTGTTAATGGTCAAATGAGGGCGACCACGGCGTTAACTTGAAGTCTCGTCCTAGTTGTGAATCTTGGGCAGAATCTCTCTTCTTTGTGAGATTGCACCAGTTGTTTTGCATGAATTCGGCATTGGACTTGCATGGGACATTATTTTTGTAAGGGAACAGCATTGTCAACATTCAATTGTCCCCTTTCACCCTACAGATCTACAGCGCACGCAGCCACAATGGGGAGGAAGTTCTTTGTTGGTGGAAACTGGAAATGCGTAAGCGCTGAACTAATCTGCTGATTGCGCCCCTTTTTAATGGCAGCTGACTATTGAGATGTATGGAAGTATCCCTTCCATCGGGTGCATGTGTGGCAGGACTACTCTGATACGACCTCACCATTTCAATTGTCTGCATTGAAATAATCCGTGGTTGTGCCTATGCCAGATGTTTAAAAGCATCAATGCAGATTGTGTATGCAGCAGTTTGTTCCAGTTTTCTTCGAATCGTTGGCGATTTTTATTGGTCCTCCGTGTTTATGAGCGGCATGTTTGGATAAAACCAGTAAGCTTTTTGACTGCTTATAAGTTGGAAATGTAAATGCTTCTGAGATTTGCTTCTTGCGATAGGCTCTTGAGTGAGCATGTCTGCACTGTACAGAGTTTGATAAACCACCAGAGCAGGAGAGTGGAACTGCCAATAAGCAGATCTTTTTACTAGTGCTGGTGGTGCTTTCGAAACCGGGGTTGATGTGGTTGATGATCACGTATCAAGCACCCAAGCACGGTTCGACCGTGCCAGTCCCGGGTCCTTGGAGTACCTTTTTGAGCCTGTGCACCTAGCAACCACAAGTGACTGCGACAAAGCTGACCCCTACTGGTCACCCAATCAATGCGGGTACTTTGACCTGTACCTCCTCTTGCTGATGTTTCATTCTTTGCCACCTTTGCAGAATGGGACCACTGAGTCAGTGAAGAAGCTGGTGGAGGTGTTGAACCAGGGGGAGGTGCCGTCTGAGGATATTGTCGGTGAGATTTTGCAGTCAGAATCTACACATGTCCGTTGAAAGTGGACTCTTTCCCGATCTCACTTATTTGATTTGGAATTTCTTCAACGTTTCAATCTGCACTCACAGTTTTCAATCCACATCTATAAGTAGCCAACATCTATAGGAATCCTAGGGTGTCCTTTCAAACATTCGGGAGAAAGATTTTAGTGAGGCCTGTGCGAGAGACCGCTGCAAATGATTGGATACCTGCTTATTATCATTTTCCCCCTGTTTACAGAGGTGGTGGTCGCCCCCCCCTTTGTGTTCCTACCCCTGATCAAGAGCCTGCTGCGGTCAGACTTCGCCGTCGCCGCGCAGAATGCCTGGGTGAAGAAAGGTGGAGCATTCACTGGCGAGATCAGGTGTGAATCTAGGATTATGCCAAGATTGCTTTCTACTCTTCCTCAACACTTGCTTTGCTTTGAGAAAAACGTTGAGGCCATCCAGACCACGAACTAACTAGGTGAAAAGCTGTGGCTTGCCTGGAATGCTCTAGCATTTGGTGGCGTCATGCCGATTGACATTGCGGCCAACTTTGAAACCGTCATGTCTGCTTATCTGTCAACCTGACCACTGGCTGACCTTCGATAATCTGTGTCTTCCAGTGCGGAGCAGTTGGTCAACCTGGGTATCCCCTGGGTCATCTTGGGACACTCTGAGAGGAGGGCACTCCTTAACGAGTCTAACGAGGTCAGCTTCTTTGGGCTTCTGCGAACAGACTTGATATCTCTGTATGCACTCTGCATGTGCGCAAGATCTTCCAGATTGAAACACAATGTTTCAAATTTCAACCCTGTGAAAGGGCAGCGCAAGCACATGCTAGCTCGCCGTCACTGTCGTCTCGGTCTCAACCTGTATTTTGTGTATCTCTCAGGACAGAAACAGGTTTTGCCGGCTGTCTTTGGAAAGTTCTCGCTTGCATGTGCTCCTGACAAAAGCGCCCCGCTCCTCCTTTTCTCTAGACCTTTCGATCACTTAGTTTTGCAGTCGCGTATGGATAGGCCTTGCAAACTACTTACGTGTGCATTTTCGTTGCAGTTTGTGGGGGCCAAGGTGGCATACGCCCTGGAGCAGGGCCTGAAGGTGATCCCGTGCGTTGGGGAGACGCTCGAGCAGAGGGAGGCGGGCAAGACCATGGACGTCATCACTGACCAGCTCAAGGCCATTGCAGGTCGGAAGCCAGAAAGAATTTTGCCATCGCTTTCACTTTCGTTGTTGACAAAAAGGTTCTTAGCAAAGATCCAGCGTATTTGCATCAAACATTACAGTGCGCGTGACGTTTGCGAGCGCATAGACTGACTCTCTGCAAGAGAGCAATCGCAATTTACAGTTGATATTCAAAGGCTTGTCGTAGCAGACTTCATATTCTCTCCAGCGATCAATGTGTACGAACGTGATCAAGTTCTGAGAAGTTGTTAAGGGTGCGCTTATCCTTCAATGTGTGCAGACAAGGTCGAGCACTGGGAGAACGTCGTCCTCGCCTATGAGCCCGTGTGGGCGATTGGCACCGGGAAAGTGGCCACCCCCGACCAGGCCCAGGAAGTGAGATGCGCCGCCTTCTCCTCCGCCGCTAGTTTTACCTTCTGCACTATGCTTGGAGATAAGATTGGAAGCTACAGAACGATCTGTTAGTTCTGGCAAGAAGCGTCCGGCCGATTTTGGCTTGGATATACTGGGTTTGAACCGCTTCAGTGCGCCGTATACTCAAAACGGAAGAAAGGCTGCCTGGCTACTTCGGCAAATGTTGCGGGCAGCAATTGTATTTGTTACAACGCTTTTATGCAATTCAAAGTGTCAGTGGGGTCCAGTCGAAAGTCTCCCCTCACGAAGAATAAGGTCGACTTCTACGTTGTCGATACAGATTTTACTGGGACCTTAAATTGCATATGGGCGTGTCGTACCTGGCAAGCACACCTTGCTGTCGGTGACTGTCCGATTGCTCTTATGACCAGCTCGAATGTTCTCACCCTTTAGAGATTGGGGTCCTACCGGATGCCTGATTCTTTCCCAAGAACGAAGGGTTGACAGCACTACCTAACGCATGCAGTGAGTGATTATACCTACAACGTTGGTTGTGCAAGAAATAGTCATCGAATCACACACAGAAGTATTTAAGGCTGAGCATCCGTGTCCGTTATGCAGGTCCATGTTGACATCCGCAAGTGGATCGCCGCCAACGTCTCGGAGGACGTTGCGAGCCAGGTCCGCATCATTTACGGAGGTGAGACACGAGTCCCCATCGGCAAGCTCGGACCTGCTGAAAGAGGGGGTTTAAGCACGTGGTTCGCCACGGCCAATTAACATGACATTCAGCTCTTATGTTGCAAGATCTAATCATGTGGTACCGGATTTAGCGACCCGAACTGCGGGCAGACGAGCTATCTGGTCGCCAAGGCGTGGCGGGTCACACGACGCCCTCTTCAAGCCTTGCATTCCCCTTGACGCCTTCTGGTTCCTGTCTTGGCCCCATCCTAATATCTCGTCGCCTGGTCAGGTACGAGCTCTTCTCAATGCGGCCTAGCAGCTCCTGCCTTCTGCGCCTTTGCGAACAGCAAGCTGCTTTATAGCCTCCACCCGTGTCGCAATGAATTAGAGAACAGATTAGCGCTACCAGCACAGGTCATCGGAATCAAATGATTGTTACTTAATGGTCTGGGCGCCCATGCACTGTGCAGGCTCCGTAAACGGCGGCAACGCCAACGAGTTGGCTCACCAGCCGGATGTAGACGGCTTCCTTGTCGGGGGGGCCTCCCTCAAGGTGAAAATCTTTGCTTTTGCGTTCGCTCTTCTGACGCTATTTCAATCTACGTTTTCTTTTTCGTTCCTCTCGCTTCAGTTGCGATATTTCTCTCGGTCTTCCGGCTTCATAACGATTGACACTGCCAAGATCCGGTGGTTACCATCGGAAGTCCTTTATCGGAGGGTCCTTAGTGCGAGATAGGGCTGGCGATAGGGTGCAGACTTCCTATGAAACTTGCACGTCACCAGTGGTGCCTCTTTGAACAAACTTTACGCTCCTGCTTTGAGTGGCTTCTGTTAGAATAGATGGGGAACGCGGATTCCGCTTTTTCAGTCCCGGATCTCACGTTGCTTGGTACCGAATGCGGAAGCGACCGGGAGCTTTAACGTCACGAGGCCAGCCTGACCCGTCAAGCTGGGGCAGCTCAGCCGTCGTGGCCCAGGTTCGGGCTGGATTCTGCTCTGCCATGTCGCCAGCAACCCGGCACTCGAAACCTCATTGGCAAAATCCCTGAGCGAAACACCTCGCGATCGGGGTCAAAGAACAAAGCGCTGTGGAATTCAGGACCTTCTGCGACCTCCTTTCGTCCGTGCTGCATCCAATCCTGTGGGAGTACAGTTTTGATATCGTTATTCGTCAGAAGACCATGGTACCTGACCCAAGTTGTGGAGGCCACTAAACAGATGCTGAACTGAAGCTGGGGTTATCTCGAACTAATGAAAAAATGTCTCTCTTTGTGCAGCCTGAGTTCATTGACATCATCAAGGCTGCGGAGGTCAAGACGAAGTAAAAAGAGGTTTGCCATTAAGATTTTTGATATGCGGGGCCGAGTGTCAAGCTTTTATTGGAGCAGCTTTATTTCGTGGGCCTGCCTCGAGGAGGAGTGTGCTATGAGGCTTGCTTTCTAGTGGCGAGTTCAAAACGCGGTTATGACCAAGAACTCTTACTTACACCCTTTGATTGAAATTTGACTCCCAAAATACCACGTATGTCCGGCTTTCTCAAGTGACTGACCTCTCTACATGCTACATGCTATCTGGGGCTTGAGTTCTCATAATAAGTCAGTCAAGCGACTCGACTGCGAGTTTCTACTACCTCAGACCGTTCTGCACTACTAGGCTAGCATATGCATTTTCATCATGTTCTGGTGCAATTTGTGTCAGCCGATAACTTAAGCTGCGCGCAAGCCGCATGCTTGGCACATTCACAATAATAGTAGAGCGTGTGGAAGCGTTCCGATTTCCGGGCTGCAATACCATGCTGGCAGAATGTTTCAAGATGACGCTGATCTTCAAATCAGAGGGGCCCTTATCGCAGACTAGCTTACGAACTTAGCCGACTCCCGGCCCATGGCGGTATTCGGTGCACAATGAATATATATTATGACCGCAGCCCGGCCCGTGAGAGCTGCGCATGCCGCACTGACAAGCCAGCTCTAGCCAGCGGTCGCGAGCCAGTGGGCCGGCACTGCGTTGCAGTGCAGCCTCATGCAGCCTGGGTATACTATAGCGCCAGGCCGCGGCTGGCCCGCGCGCGGCGCTCAGTCCGAGTCACTGAGCTCTGAGTGGCCGCGGGAGTACCGTCATATGCGTACGCGTGACTATGCATGCCATACCTATGCACATGCAGATTGGCTTGCCGCCGCGGCCGGCCATGCTAGCCCCGGCTCTTTTGCTTGCGGCGGCCGGCCGCGCTCATTGCTTAAAACCCATCGTTTGCAGAGCCGATGCCTACAACCGTCGATTTGGACAAGGTTTCTTGAAGAATCCGCCAGATACTTTCAACGACGTCGATATAGGAGCCTGGAATCTCATAGACACTTCTAGAACCGTCGATTCCACTGCCACGCGCTTCTGTCGTAACTAGCTTCTTTGCACCGTCCGATAGAGGTCGACATTATAATTGACGGCTGAGAAGCCCGCTGGCTCGAACCTTCTCGCACTTTCTTGCATGATGCACGCCAGGTTTGCCATTATGCAGCAAGCTGCAAGGCTGCAAGCATGCAAAACTGTGAAAATGCAAACCCGCTGGCTACCAGGGGAGCACTACAAATACGCTGCATTGCAGCTTCCATTTTCAATCCAAGCAATTCAGCAACCAGCGCTTTCAACAGCTCTCACGCGCACAAACGCTTCCAGCTTCCATCAACAGTTCTGTCATCAGTAAGCTTCCCTTCCTGTCTCTCAGCACCATGGCTCTCACTCCGTGGCTCGTTTCCCGCGACCCCTTCTTCACTGACCCCTTCAGCATCCTGGACAACTTCAGCACCAACTTTGACTCGTCGCTTACGCCGCAACAGGGCAGGGGCAGCGAGGGCGCTAGGCGCGTTACAGCATTCGCAAGGGCGCCGGTGGATGTGAGAGAGAAGGAGGACCAGTACATCTTTGAGGCGGACTTGCCAGGTGAGTGAACAATTCAACTGAAGAGTGAAATTGGTGGAATAAAAAGCGGGTGGTTTTGTTAGAGGTGTGCCAGCATTGCTTTGAAGGTGGTGCTAGTGATGAAGGAACAGGTGTTTGTCTTCGACGAAAGCCATTGCTCTGCTGGAAATTTGGGAAGTTCCTAGTTGATGCTTGGGAAGTCTTATGGATGGTGCTTGAGAGGAGCTGAGATAGTTGCTTGACGAACTGCCTTAGGGGCTCAAGAAATGAAGGTGGAAGCAGCTTGTAGCAACGGCAGGACTTGTTGAAAGGTTGCCTTGAAAGCTTCTCTGAAAAGGTTTGGTCGACGTCACAGTGTTCCCCAAGCTGTGGTTGGTCAGTGTTCTGTGGGTTTGTTAGACGGAGTTTAGCTCCTTAGGCGGAGTTCAGCTCCTGAGGGGCAAATGTGGTGTGTCCTCGTTATGTGAGTGTCATGCTATACGAGTGAAAGTTTGAAGTTCCTTATTGCTTCTTGTGTGCTTCTTGTCAAGCTCAAGATTCTGACATTGATTCTTTTGATCTTGCAGGGTTGACCAAGGACGAGGTCAAGGTGCAGTTGGAGGAGGACGGCAAGGTCTTGGCCATCTCAGGAGAGCGGAAGCACAACTTTGAGGAGAAGAAGGAGGGCCAGAACTATCACAGGTGAGTTCATCCCAGCTGAAACAGACTGCTCTTCTCCTTTGCAGCTGTATTATAAAGTGGATCAAAGTTGGTTGCCCTTTGCAGAACCTCTGCTTATCATCATCTGCCTTCGTCTGTCCTTGCACTCTGCGTGTTTAAAGGATTTCCTTCAATGAGTCTCGTGGGACTAGTGGTCCCAGTGCATTTTAGAGGAGGAGCAACTACGAGACCTGCCTTTTGATCAGTTTCAATCCTTTTCATAGAGCACAGTGTGAAATTTTTAGGGGCAACACAAGTTGGGATGTTGCGGCTGACTTTGGCGCGCCAGGCATTCGATTCATCTCTGTTCTGGTTATCGTCTCGTTTGAGCTGCAATTTCCAGTTGTCCAGCCGAGTTTTGACTCATATCCGTCATGTCCATATCTCTTTTCAGCTTCTCTGTTGCTCTGATGAGGGTCATGCAAAGCCTAGTACCGTTGTTAATCCTGGTGGCACTCTGTAGAAAAGATTGTCTATTCTAACTTTCTGCGGCGCTTGTTGAATTGCTGGTCTGAGCTGCATCCTCCTTCAGCTGCCTGCTTCTGATAGCGACTTTGAACTCTTTCGTCCTTGTATCTTTGCAGGATTGAGAGGTCGTACGGCAAGTTTGAGCGCCGCTTCCGTCTGCCCGACAACGCCAATCCGAGCGACATCAAGGCCGCAGCCAAGGACGGTGTTCTCACGATCGCCATCGCCAAGCAGAAGCCCAAGGAGAACAAGACCGTGGACGTGCAGATTCACTAGATAGTCACTGCTCTGAGAGTCTACAGCATGATAAGATAATAGGGATCATATAAGAGACTCTTGATGATTGCAGTGGTTGTCTCGCAGAGTCCAACGAACTAACCAGTCACGAGATGCGGGAACAGGAAGTTTTGCACCTATTTGCGGCATATCCATAGCAATGATGAGTATATAGACAAAGATTGTTTGTTGCATAAGCAGCATGAGACACTGAGCAGATAGCATAACAGATTGCCAGAGTAACCTGAGAGTGACCTAAATGAACCGTTGAACATAACCTATCATTTAATCAACTGTCAAAATTGTTTGTTAAGGTCTGACCGTTCCAGACTACCAAAGGGCCATCTTTTTGTCACAAGTTTGTGAAAATCAAATTTTCTCATACTGTGTCAAGAATTGCCTTTCTCCGATGCCAACAAAATTTCATCTTTGAAATATGAAGTGATGTGCACTGCTAGGATCACTCATTGCATTGCGCACGGCCGACAGTGTCTGTACTCCCAGCTCTCGAATAAATTGTGCAAGATAGTACTATAATTCAAGGATATCAGACCGTATTGCATGCGCATGAAAGTGTCATTAAGGCTGTACAATCAATCACCAGGGTTGAATTGGTAGCAGCGCAGCGCCTACGCTAACCTGCAATACGAATTGCACTGCAGAGCATCATATGACTGTCAGATATTCTGCGTGACAGGAACAGACGTAGAGGAACATGCAGCGATGTTGTGTTGATGGCCGGCCGATATCATCATAGTATTGACCTAAACTGTACTAACGCAGATCATGTGCCCATGGTGCGCGCGTACGTGAATCGTTTATCCTGCATCTTCACGTCATCCATGACAGTGTATGTCAAGGCTAGCTCACCATGGCAGTTACGGCCACAATATATGATCGACAATCAATATGAGTGTGCATACCCTAAGATTGCAAAACACGTACTAGGAAGCAACGATGCACGTACTTGTAACCGTCACCGGCTTATGTACCGTCAACATCAGGCTTATCCCGAAAGTTGAATCGCTTGCGTTCGCCCGGCCGGATCGATCGGCAGCTACTAGGAAACGATAATAAACCTAGCCTATGAAGCGCCGCGCTGCTGAGCAAGACCGTCTGCGCTGTAGCTACTTAAGCCACAAAGCCAGCTAGCAGCTGAATACGACATGCGTGGCATGGCAACTCTGGGCAGGACACGTCCGATCTAAAATGCGGAACTGTAAGTTGCAAACATGTATCCACGTACGTTAGTACTGGTAAAAGCGCCAACCATGCAGTGGCGGCTTGGCCAATCCAACATAGGCGGGAAGCTATTGTCGATAAATTAGCACAACATGCAGATCAGTATGTTGGAAGATTTATGAGGGCCTTCAGTACAAGCATAAATCGTGTTTGAGAAAGTCAGGGCACCTGCGAATGCTTGGACGAAATGAAACTGCTTTCAACATAAATCACTGGAGTTACGTCCCAAGTCCAGCCGAATCCGGCCGGAAAGCCGTCTCCGCTAGATCGATCGCTCGCGCCATAGCCATTGATTTGTTTACCGTTTCTTGATACTCTAGCTCGGGGTTACTGTCCGCTACAATCCCGGCCCCCGCTTGCAAATGCACGACCCACTCTCGCCTCGGCACTTCCCCCCGGTAGTCGTACAATGTGTCGTGCGCAAACGTGGGGATGACCATCGTGCGCAGGGCCAGAGCGATGTCCATATCCCTGCAGAAAAGCAAGCCGTCGATATTATTGATGAGTTTGTAAACAACTCAAGCTTGTGCCCCACAAAGCATTCATGAGGGAGTCATCGAGAGAATGTCATCGATCTGAAAAGTGAAAAGATACTGTCGAAGAATTCAACGAGCAGAGTTTGACGGCTCTAGAGGGACGTGACTGTTGGTTGAAGGCTCTAGATGACGTGCCCGGGTGCCTGGGTGCTCTTAGGGAAAAGTCAATGGGCTGTCTAAAGTGATGAACAAATCCAATAGGGTTCCTGTCTCAGTATCGGCCACCAAACATCAAACGGGAAGCAGTAACTCCGTACACATGAGAAGGTTCGAGGGCCTGCACTTGTTCCACCCCCGAAATCAAATCGATCCGTCTTTCAGGTTTTGCTGTGAGGCGAGAAAAGGACGGAAGAGAAAAATTGGTGCCACTCACCCTGTGAAGGACACCATGCCGATCCCTCCGCTGTACGGCCCTCTTCGCGCCACCTCTAGTTCGTCGATCAACTCCATGGCACGCACCTGCGACACAGAAGGGACGTCGGTCAGCTAAGTCCATATAACAGAAAGTTTGTCCACATATTGCCTACTTCTTGCAGACAGCGATGCTTGCTTTCTGCCCGTATTCCCTGGTGTGATTGTAGCAAACATTACGCCTGAGAAAGAGCTTCTTGGCTTGTCCAACGCACAAGAGTATGTCCCTGAAAGCCCGTCCCAGCCTTGCATCTCGGAGGCTTCTTCTCACCTTCTATCACCTCTGGTATCATACAATTACAAAGCCGTCAGCAGCCGATTTTCGGCGGCCCCCTAACGGTACCGCGAATGAAAAGCTTCTGATCTTACACAAAGCGGACCCTTCGAAACCCACACCCGCGCCCCGTACCTTTGGCGCGCCACTGACGGTCCCGACCGGCAGCGTGGCTTTGAGCGCGTCCCAGGAGGTGAGGTCCTCCTTGAGCTCCCCGGTGACCGTGCTGCTGATGTGCATCACGTGGCTGTACCGCTCGATCTTCATCAGCGCCTCCACCTTCACCGAACCAGCTTTCGACACCTGGCGCGCAGAGAGAGGGGTCACAGATGAACTCTTTCGGACGGTCAAACCTCCAGAAAACAAGGATTCGGCCAGTCACCTGGTGTGCGCTGGTGGAGAATTCTCGAGAGGGCGTGTCATCGGGACGGTCCAAAATGTCAGCGCTTGTCACCATCATAGAGGCTTGCTTTGGAAACAAACCCCGGCGCTCGGCGACATCAAAGCAGACCAGAGCGCTGGGCAGTCGCTCCCCGACGCAACTCGGAGTCTTCTGTGTATGCCCTTTTCAAACGACGGCAACGCTCAACAAACCTGGGGGAAAGGATATATAAACGACGTGAAAGATGAGTTGGATGTTCAGAAAGAAGAGCTGCGGCTACAGGTACCAACACTCCACCAACGGCCTCCAAACGGTCACAGGCGCCGCGCCACCTTGCGACGCTCTTCACCCTTACAATCACCAATTAAATTTAGCTCATGATCCGTAACCAGAAAAAGACTTCCAACCCAAGTAGAGGTAACGGCTGCCTCCCACACTAGCAAAGTTTTTAGCCCCCTACGTTTAGATGAACGCGCTGTGAGCTCAATGTAAGAAGCAACGTTCAAACCCCGTTTGCGCCCCACCTTGCCGACGTCATTCCTGCCCAGGTCCACCAGCATGACGTGCTCCGCGCGCTCCTTCTCGTCCGCCAGCAACTCGTCCTCCAAGGCCTGGTCCTCCATCTCCGTCGCGCCCCGTCGCCGCGTGCCCGCCAGCGGCCGGTTCACCACCTTCCTCTGCAAACATGAGACGTCGTTCTCAGCACCGCTTTGCAAGCTCTGTTCTCAAAACCAGTCCACCAAGCCGATGCGCTGCTTCTGATGCTTGGAAGTCATCATGCACACCTCCAAGACGCTTTGCAAAAGACTCAGGCTTCTCAGTCGCACTGCAAGAACCTTGCAAAACGCCCAAGGCGTGTGGCATGAGCGCTAACAGTTCCTAACGCTGGAGAGGTTCTCGGAGCTGAACGTGACAGGAAGGAAGATCCCGGTTTGCGCAGCACTACTGGATTGTCTGCGAGGTACTTCGCTATGAGGCTAATATGCTTCCAAGACTCCAATTCCAAAATGTCTTGCTTTCGTAGAAGGTCGCCGAGTTTATCAGTCATCGCTTACGTCCGTGATCCGGCAGAGGATCTCGGGGCTGGACGCAACAAGAATGGCGCCCCGCGCCTGGAGATAGATCATGTAGGGGGAGGGGTTCACGATGCGCAGTGCGCGGTAGATCTCGTACGGGTCCGCAAAAGTGCGCCGCTCAAAACGTTGGCTTAGCACGATCTGAAAGATGTCGCCTGCCAGTATGTGCTCCTTCGCGTCCTCGATTGCCGCAATGAAGTCGCTCCTAGGGATAGAAGGCAAGACTTTGAAGAATTTGGCAAGGCAGTACGACCCGGATGGAGGTAGCTTGGTGCGCTGCTCTGAACCTAACAGGTTGATCATTGTCGCCCGCCAGAAGATGCTCTTACTGGCAGCATGCAGTGCGTCGATAAGTGCGCTATTGACGAGGCACCTTTTCAATTTAGAAATGCTAACCCGTGAAATCGCCCCACCAAAAACCCGAGAACAAAAGCAGAGATTGAGAGCGATTCAGGGTGTCAGAATGCGCAACAGAGTATGCACGTGCTTATGTCGGAACATGCAAAGAAAGGCCGCAGGCAATCGTGGTCACGTTTGAATCCAGTCTTGCCGTTTCGAATTCGAACCTAAAAGGCCCTTGTCACATCCACCTGAGGCTCGACTTTAGCAAGGCGGCCGCAATAATGCAACTCTTGCCAAAGCAAAAACGACTCCAACGCTCACTTGGTCATGTTGGACACTGCTTCCGTGGTGGTGTTCTCCCCGAGCGACAGCTGTACGCAGCCGGACGAGAGCACCGGACCGTCGGACGTTTGCAGCCGTTGTACCAGCCGTGCAAGCGCGCGCTGCCCGTTCGAATAAGCGTCCGAAACGGATTCGAAGTCGTCCAGCATCACCCAATGTATCACGTAGATAATCTGCGCATTGAGAGGAATCCAATCGTTTCCCATTGCTCTAGGAAAAACGAGGAACACGCGGGGCACCTTCAGGAGCCGCTTCCGAAGCGGAGGACGCTTCCAGCATCACGAATCACGTGGATGATCTGCACGTCGAGGAGGACTCAATGAGCACTCGTCGTTAGAGAACGAAGTGCAAAGGTCCCAGTTCGAGGAATTCTCGAACTCGTGGACGCGAACACTCCAGCATCGTGGAACAGATCACATAGATAATTTAACCTTGCGGAAAAACAACGCACTGGTCTGGCCTGTCAGTACAAAGAGGATCGGGGACTGATCCCCCAGGCGACCAACTAATCGAGGCTCCGCTCAGAAAAGGCACGTGCTCTAGGATTGCAGTGACACCAAGGTGTGCTAACAAGGACTGTGCGTCGCCCGAGAATCATCTGCTGAGGAACGACGACAAGAAGCGGCTGAAACGGAGGTGCTGACGGTCAGAAGTACAGCACACACGACGAACAAAGTGCTCAGTGAAACCTAACACAAAGTGGCTGTTTTCAGTCGACCGAAGCAGAATACTAAGTATCCACGCCAGATCTCCGTATGAGACAGCGAACAGATTTCGCCAACCAACGAGCCGCACTACTTTTCTCTCACTCTCCAAGCCTGACAGAGCCGTATAAGTATTGAGAAATGCGCAAACAGAAGCGTTAGACAGACAAAGTACAAGTAAGAAAGCCAAGGAAGGAACAAAACGAGTGTCGTCAACGGAAGGCCCACCTTGGTGACGTGGTCAAAGACGACTACGTCGTGGTACAGCCCGAGGTGGATGTCGGGTAACCCTCGGTCATCGTCAGGCGCGTTCGCAAACGGCAGCTTCTTGCTCTCTACGTACCGGACCGTGTCGTACGATGTATAGCCCACCCATCCGCCTGCATGAGGGGCGCTCTGATATTTTCGTTTGAATATCCGCAACGAGCTGTCGGCTTTTGTCCCTGGACCTTTTGATCTTGCGCTGTGTGCTTCTTGTTTCGAACGTTCTGTTGTCGATACATTCATGGCAATGCTCTTGACGAGCTGTCTGCTTTTGGCCCTGAATTCTCTGATATCGTGCTGTCTGCTTTCCTTTTTATACTTCTTGTTGTCGAACTGTCTGCTTCTAAATGGTGCAGAGCAACGTTTTCAGGAGGGCGGATTGATCCTGCCCGTTGCCACATTCGACCGGGTCAAGAGAGACGCCGGCATGCCGAGTATGTTTCGCCGGAGCAGAGTATCAAAAAGCTGCATCAACGTTGTATCCTGGCTTCTGGCTATGGTCAGTGAGCGAACATTTCTCCTTTCCCTTTGGCCATGCATTTCAACAAAATCTCAAGAGCCCAGACTATTTTACTCACCGCAGAAGCAGTCTGGCAGTCCATCTACAGTGGCTGGCCGCCAGTCCTCTGACAGCTCCACGGGCACCTGGAGGGGGTCTTGGCTCAGCTTCTCCTCGCGCCCCCCCTTTGCATGGTCGAGGATCGTCACCAGCTCCTCTTTCGCAATCACCTCGAGGGACGGGTGGGCACCGACAAAGCTGTACCGCCCCTGGTATGAAAACCGGTATGGATGTCAGTTTCGGCTCTACTGCAGCAGGCCAACTTTAACAAAAGCTAACATGCTAGAGGATTTCTGAAGCTTTGATGATGAGAGTCGAGTGCGGTCTTTCGAATTCGGAGGAAAGATGGATCTTGTAGGACGATAGTAATTCCGGCTTCCCGCTTTTGATAGCAGAGGACCAACTACCAGAAGACCGTCAGGAAAAACAGCGGTGTGAGGCTGGCGCCATGGGGTTCAACTGCACCACCACAAAGCTATATTCATGTGTCCCAACAATGACAAGATGATGATTTGCCTCCTTGAAGACGTGGCTGTGTGCGTAGAATGCCGTCTCAGGGTTTAGCCAGCCTGACAAACATGTTTGTTGGTGTCTTTCCAGCCCGCTACTCAGTTACCTTCCGAGGTACACCGAAAACCGACCTTGTCAGGAATGCCAAACGGAGTCGTAGACTTTCCTCGTTATGAAAATCTGGCAAAATAGTATGCTTGCAGAATCATATGGGAGTAAACGTCCACTTATAAAAATCTGGCGCAATTGTGCTTACCGCGCGAATTCCGTCTTCCACCGATTCTAGCAGGAAGCTGGGCGCCTCCTTGTCGTCCCCCCTCACTAAACACTTGTACGCTAGGACAGGCGTCAGCTGGTCGGAGAAGATGCGCCGAAACATGGGGACCAGATTGCCCCGCTCAGCGGCTTTGGAGAAGGAGGCATAGTCTGCAGAGGCGGGATACTTACTTTAACGAACCTGACCTCACTGACCAAGCGGGCTCCAAAGGCTGTCATACATGGGCCGCTCAATGTTGGACAGCTTGTGATGTGAAGGGATCTGGCCTATTTGCATCAGAAACCTTCAGGAATAGTCTGGTGGATTCCAGAAGGCACCAATGCACGACCGCAAAGCTGACAGCCTATGTTGCATTGGGCAAATATATCACAATGCAAAGCTGCAGGGTGGTGTTCGGAGAGCTCAAATGCACTCTCAAATTTCCAATTTTGCAGAAGAGTCTGCAAATGGAGGTCATTGAACGCTGAAATCATCAGCAGATCGTGATAATGGTGGTCTGCTAACGCGAGAGTACAATGTCCAATCTGCACTTTGAGACGCTCACCTTCTGTAACCTCCTGCGGTGTCTCCACAGCTGGAGCCACCGCCACTGCTACTGCCCGTCGTTTTACCGTTGGCCTTTCATCCGCTTTGAAAGTTGTTCTAGAGTTGCCAGCAACATACTGTGGCCCCAGAGTTGGACTCGGGCCCTGGTAAGAGGAATTCGCTAAGCACGCTCTTCGTGATCCACAGCAAACAGCGAGACCTTGCCGGACCAGTGCATCAGCCTCACCCACCCCGCTCCCAGCTTGCGCAGAAGCGGACCCCAGTAACAGCGGCCCCCGCAGCAGCCTTGCTTGGAGGCCGGCCTGCGCCATTGTGCCTTTTGCCCTCAATGGCCAGGGCCAGGACCCGAGGGGCAATCAGCTTTTTGCTCGTCAAATGCCCCTGGCAAAAGCACTCAATGCTGACAGTGATGTCGCCTCATGAATCATGAATGCACAAATGCCAATGGCAATGTGGGGAATGTTGCCCTCTGAGTCTCGGCAAATCGGCATTTGGCTGTGACGCCGACGGCGAGAAGGTTGAGCACAGACCGTATTCTAATCGCCACTCATACCCCCCGTTGCATCACTTGCAGGATTAGAATACTGCATACTGATGTTAAGCCTGTACGACCGGACTTTTAGGGCGCATCCAAACTCCATCAATTTTGCGCCGGCCAGCTGTCTCATGCCATTGGCATTGGTCCTCGAGCCTATTAAAGGTCCAGGAACAGCTTCAAAGTCTTCAGATTGTGTAGATTTGATTTCAACAGCAATCCATCAAGAGAACGCTGCACACAATCAGCCTGGCGCTGCATCTGTTATGAGCCGCAGGCGCCCTCTCCCCTCTAGCCTCTAGGATCGAAGTCCCTGCTGCGGGGTCCGGAAGCGGAGCCTTCAGATCGTGGCTTCCTGCGCACCTCCTGGGTCGGCCATATTGTCCACTCAGACTGCACGATTGCAGCCATTGTTTCAGTTGCAAAAGAAGAAGGTGGCCCAGAATTTGGGAGACCAGTGTTGGAACAACATGGCCACTTGTCAGATTGTCCACCCATCCGCAACCCTGAGCCAAACGAGGCTCTGTTCACTCCACAATCCAACAGCATTGCATTCTACTAGGTTATTCTCGTCGCCCCATCTTTCCAGTTGCCTGGTTCTCCCAGCAGAAGGACCATCATCTTTGCAATTGCCTCATTTAGCGGTGGCTCGGGCATATTCTGTTGCACGGAAGACCACTAGACCGGCACTAGGAAAGACTGGGACAAGCTGGCGGCCAGTGACAGCATTCGCTCCTTCTCTCCCAACACGTTTCCAAGTAGCTCGCAATTGCGCGGGCAGGATCAAGCGTAGGCATGCCGAGATCCATCATTCAAATGAGCGCGGCCTGGTCTGCCGAGCCTCGTTCAGCTGGCGCGACTCAGGCGATTCGGAAGAGGAAGAGTGCGACGAGAATGGCATCTGCACCCCAGCTGGTATGAAGGTGTTTGACGATGGGAGGCAACTGTTCAACCAGCGGGAGTTCTACAAGTGTCATGACGTCCTTGAGGAGCTGTGGCATGTATCTCCGGAGCCGCAACGCTCCGTGTTGCATGGGATCTTGCAGTGCGCCGTGGGACTGTACCACCTGCAGAACCAGGTAGGAGTGCAACACATGATGTGGCTCTGTATTCTGCTCCTTGGCTTAGAGGATTGTGATCTGACGTGGTGGAATTTCAGGAAAGATGCGCTCTCGAACAGTCTTGCTTGTGAACTGTGCTGCTTGAATTCTGTTGCAGCCTTGTGGTCTGGTTGTTTCGTTGAACTGCGGTGTGTCAACTCATTCAAATTGGTGGTCACGGCATGCACAGATCTACATTCCATTCTCTCTGTCCGGAATCCGAATCCGCTTTGAGTCCTCTCCGAGCAGTCTCAGCTTCATTTAACATACGCAGTCCCACTTCTGTGATGGAAAAGTAGAGTCCCAAGAGTATAATCGAAGTTCATGGGTTTCGAGGGGGGAACCTGCATCTCAGAAGGCAAGTCCTTCCGTGAGGGTGCACACTACGGATCTGTGTCTTGCACTACTGTTCACGGAGCACTTGCTCACATTGCGCAATCTTTCAATCTGCAGAACCATAGGGGTGCGCTCATCCAGTTTGGAGAGGGTCTCCACAAGCTCCGGCGGCAGCAGTTGCGGGACGGGCCGCTGTTCGACTTTGAGCAAGGCATGTCTGCGCTGCTGGAGTTCGTGTACAACACTCAAATTGAGCATGCCGCCTGCGACGAGGAGACGTGCGCCCCAATGACAGGGGACGATGAGTCGTACAGGTAATACGTCTCCGTTGATTAGGCTCAGTCGTTGACCTTTTTCGATCAACCCCGTGCAAGTCGGATGGAGCTGCAATAAGGCGTCTCCAAATGGAAAATGTAGGATAACCATCTAGAGGTGTCTTCTCTTAAGAAAGGTCCGCTTCTGACAGGGTGCCGGAACGAGAGCCCCGAAGTTTCAGACGCTGTGAGGCTGAGTGTCTCCTAGACGAAACGAAGTGAACAATGGTTTTGGGTGGCACCCTGTTCATTGATGGTCTGCGCCCGTGAATTGGGCAACGAGGGATTTTGGGTTACATGGATTAAGATACTGAGACAACTAAGCGAGAAGGTTGACTGGACCTTGTTTGTCAGCTGACTTGTGGCACTCAATTCGGAACCAGCACTTAAGGGGAGAATGCTTCGGCTCCTGTGCAGCTTTGTCTATGACGTGCTTCCGATCTGACTCGTACTATCCAGAGTCGATCCTGAGAGTCTTTTAACTCATTCTTGCAGGTTGCTGGGAAACTTCGGTGCTGGCCAGCCGATGTACACGATCGAGGAAGGCCGTGATGGTTGTATATACCTCCACTTTAACTCGGCTCGGCAGGAAAAGCTGGTAGCCCAGGGCTTCGAGCAACAGCGAGTTGTCCTGCCGGTGCTGGAAGTCACCGAAGCCGATCTTCTCGAGTTAAGTTGCAGATGATAAGGCCATGGGTTTCGGAAGGTTATGTGCACGTGTGCACGCCAGTACTTTAGTCGAATATAGACTCAAACTTAGAGCCTTTCTTAACATTCAGGGCCCCCGAAACGAGCATGTATTCTCCACCTCTCAGAAGATGGGTTGACGCTTTCCAAAATCGAGAAACGAAAGAACATTTCCGACTATAGTTGCCCCATGCATTGTCTGATTGACATCTGCATGTGTAAAGTAGGTATATGGGTGCTCAACAGCTCAATGTCTTCTGGCATGCTGTACGGGGGCAATCAAAGCTGATCATAGGGTCACGGAATGCAAGAATCTTGCTATAGTTACATGGGGCCGTTTGGTGGGCAGTCACTTGTCACATTTGCGCAAGAATCTTGAGACGATCCCAACGAACAGGCGGGACCGCTAGCACATGACGCAAGTACGTGCATTTTATCTTCTCGTCTATGGACATGATGCATGGCCACCGGGCCGGCCACCTTATCTCAATCATTGTACTATTTCTCGTTTCCTTGTCATCAGGATTAGGGCCTGTATATAGGCGGTTGGGCCCATGATTCGAAGGCGCAAACGAACTGAGAGCTAGGCAGATTTGAAGAATTTGATATCAGGGATTTCTGCATCTGCAAAGTTGGTGAACGAACTAGCGGACAACCTTCTGGCGGTCTGAGTAGATCTAGAGGTTCTCGACCGTCGGTTTTCAAATGGGAGCGCGAAATCGACGGCGGGTTCAAGAAGAACTGGCGCCAATGTGGCAGCTGATGTGGCAAATTGGCTGTCTTTGATTTGTCCAAAAGCGACAAAAGATCTTCATATCCACTTTCCTGGACAAGATACTTGCAACTTTTGGCCTTTTGGAAGATTTTTTGCTGCAAAAGAAGGAAGCATTGGATTTTGGAGAGAGAGTAGACTCTAGAGGCGGCCTTCACGCTTCTGGAACTTGGAAGATTTCTCAAGGCCTCTACAATCAGAATTGCAACTGACGTGGGCGCACTCTCCTTGTGGAAAGGCGATGGTGAGTACCTCTGGTAGAATTCTGAGATTTTTCTGAGCGCATAAAGAAGCTGGGTGCTGAAATTGGGTTCTTCACCAATATCACAGTATTGTCCCAGATGTCTAGCTTCTATCCAGCCCCGAAGCAATGTATCATTGGCCAGTTTGTGATTGAACCGAGAGGCAATTGAAACCTCTGCTAGGAGACCATAGTTAGGGGCTGTCATGTCTGAGAGTTGCGTGCAAAGAAGATATCAGTTGAGTTGCTTGGCCAAAATGTGATGAAAACCAAAGGCAAGAGAGAGACCTTTCTAAAGCTAGAAACCCATGGAGGGCTTTTATGTATCAGAGTTGTGTGCAGTGTGCATTGTGTTAGTTGGCTTGTAGTGTCTGCACCATTTTGGTACTTTTTGCGGCCTTCTGCTTTCACTCTCCTTGCTCATACACTATGTTTGAATGCCATGAAACCTGCGGCATGTGCCTTGGTCTGCTGGTCAAAGAGCAGCCAGAAGCACTGAGTCCAACTTGCTCCCTTCAATTGACCCTAACACCACTTCGTCTTAGAAACGCAGACTTTGAAATTGTGGGGAGCGCTGCATTCTGGTAATGGCGCTGCAACCACCGTTGCGACACTTTCATATTGTCAGAGCGGAATTGATGACCTTGCTCCATTATGTTTGCAGGCTCTCTCCACAGTCTCGCAGCTGGGGTCGTTGGTCCAGAATATAGGGTTCACCTCAACCAGTCGAACTCAAGATTCAGTGGGCCCATCCACAGCACAGACTTTGGCGCCTACTCTTCGGCAAAAGCACTCAGCCCCATCCGCAGCATTGGAGCTCCATAACTGCAGAAACTGGGGCGCACACAAAGCACAGAACTTTCTCAGAGGTCAATCGGTGAGGCGGTCAGCGGCGAAAAATGCACCGGCAGCGGGCATTCAGATGTCGGGCGGAGACGAGAAGCTTCCCAGCCTGTACGAGTTGCCGCTGACGAGTTTTATCGACCAAAGCGGTTACATTAACCCGCCGGTGGAGAAGAACACGGAGGCCAGCGTGTTTGCGGTGCTGGATGAGGCGAAGAAGGTGCAGTACATCGGGTTTTCCAAGGACGTCCGGAACTCGCTGCGGACGCTTTTGTGTCGGAGGCCGGACAAGTGCCACTACTACAAGCTGCATAACCTATCGGTCCTGGACCAGCAGCGCATGATCGAGATCAGGAACTCGGTGAGCGATGCCTCTTTCTCAACAGAAATCTTCCATGGGGAAGCTGGAGACATGCTCGAGTCCATGAGTAGGCAGCATTCTCCTCAAAAAAAGCCGCTCAGCATCGACTTTCCACATTTGTACTTGGCGTCGTGTTCCTCATTATGCTACCACCTCATCAAGAAAACAAGTAAACGCAGAAGATCTCGAGTTCTAAGTCAAATTGAGCCTGTTTGGCACAGGTCATGCAGGTCTAGACTTAACAGCGACTCCTAGCGGGCGGAAAGTCCTTGAAGCAACTATGAACATTTGAGCAGTCAAGACCACGAAACCAACAATGGCCTGTATGGAGGCCTCCTTATCATGACGGTGACGGTACCAATCTGAGGCTGTTCTAACCCTAGATTGTAGGATGCGAGCTGCTCATTGCCTGAGCAAGATGGCTGTGGACCATTTTTCAATATGAAGGACCATATTGTGACCGATTTTGTGGCGGCGTTCGTGCAGTGGTCGTCAGAGCTCGGTCTACCTCCCCCGGGTAACGCAGACCCGTACCAGAAGAACCAGTGGGAAAAGCCTGTCGATGCTGGGTCAATTTCGGAGAGGGGGATGGCTGCTGCGGGCGCCTCAAAAGCAAAGGCGCTGCTTGGAGAGATGCAAGCCAGGGGGCTCAAGGAAGAGGTCAGGGCTGTGCGAGACTCGGTCCGCTTTGAGTCCAGGCTATGCAATTGTGGGAAAGGGAGTGTCGAGCATCGCCTCAAAATTGGTACTTTGTCAGGTCTATGTTGAAGATGGATGACGTGTCTCCCTGCGGAAGGACGTAAGGCAACCAAAAATGTCAAGAGGGTAAACTGAATTGTCAGGAATTCTTTCTGCAGAAGTTTGAGCTTGAGTATGTCCTTGAAAAGGCAAACAGGGATCAAAAGGACTACTTCTTGACGACTTTGCGGAGGCTGCCACTAGAAGGTCAAATATTGGTGGCATCATCTGTCTATGCACACCACTTGCTCATTGAGGCCGCACTTTTGCAGATGATCTACGACCCAGCCTTGCTGGAGAGGGGCAGATGCGATGTTCTTCCGGTGAGCCACATGGGTCCATTCGTTTGCTGTGTATTCATACTGACGGGCCTTTTCTACCCAATTACATGATGAATAAAAGGGGGCAGTTTCGCCCGCCAGGCTTCTGTCGAAATTCTTGGGGATTCGTTCACAAAGAACAGCTGCCACAATTAATTGAGGCAGGTGTGAAGCGGATTGCAAACAGGGCAAGCAGAAAGAAGAGGTGGACAGCTGCGCAAGAAAGGAAAGTTGGTCCATTTTAGTTCTCAAGGATAGAAAGAAAGGCATTCCTGCTTTTGAGCTTCATCATAACAGTCCCCCTTGGGATGAGCATGGGACTCGCTTGAGTTCCAGGCTCTCAAACTTTGATTCCTAGTCCGAGGAATTGGCGGCATGTCGAGCAACTGTGTCTGTTTACCGCTGGGCTGTTGACAATAGACTGGCGTCCAACTGGAAAACGCAGACAGAGGGAGAGTGGTGAAGGACCAGTTCCACTCTTCTGAAGAGTCAGCCATTTCAGATCATTGCAAGTAAAAGGCAATCACGCCGAATCTGCAAAACTGTGGAGGAACTGTGCGTAAAGCTGAAAAGGTGGTGTTCTCGTGTATTCAAATTTCAGGCAGCTGATTTGTTTCCAACCAGGCTGGAGGCCATTAAAGACTCTTGGTCCGCATTCGAGTGCAGCTGAAGGTTAAGATGGTCCGAGAAGCATACCAGCCACTCACTATACCCGGTTCTGGATTGTTGCACTTCCAAGGCAAAGACCATTGAGAAGGTCCAAGCTGCTGAAAGAACTGAACGCTAACTCGAAACCAATCACGACGTTTTGGAACTTAAGCAGCCACCAACAAACCTGGTCACTGCGATATGGAGTCCAAGCAGAAGTCCTCTGAGGAGGTCCAGGCCGCTGAAAGCAAAGGACGCTACCTGACATTAACCACGCCGTTATCGAACTTAACCAGCCTAAAAACCTGGTCAATGCAGTCCAAGCGGAAGTCCTCTGAGGAGCTCCAGGCTGCTGAATGCAAAGCACGCTTACCTGAAATCAACCACGCCATTTTCAAACTTAACCAGCCACTAACAACGTGATCCACGCTGCTATGCAGTCCAAGCAGAAGTCCGCTGAGGAGCTCCAGGCTGCTGAAGACAAAGCACGCTAACCTGACATCAACCAGGCCGTCATCGAATTTAACCAGCCACTAACAACGTGTCCCCCTGATATGCAGTCCAAGCAAAAGTCCGCTGAGGAGCTCCAGGCGGCATCGGACTTGGAGGCGGAGCGGAAGTCGAACGAGCGCCACGTGTCAGCGGTGGCCATCGACGGGGAGAAGATCGAGTTCGACATCACATTCACCATGAAGTACAAGACGAACGGGGGCTGGATGTACGACGTGTCAGTCAGCCACCAGGACAGGGTCACCACGTGAGTTGGCCGCTCTCTGCGGTTGTTTCTATCCTGGTAAAGGGAGCTTGCTTCTCAGTGAAAGGACGAACAGGCGATGCTGACGTTAGCTGCGACTGCAAAGTTCGGGCAGGCATGCGATCTGGTATGCTGCAATTGCGCCAGACTTTGATTGTGTAAAGTGCTGAACGAGGGTCAAGACGGGCTTTGAAGTTTACTGCGGTAGCAACGCTGACGGTGCGGGTTGGTTGCATGCCTACTTTCTTTCCCGGCATCCGATTGGATCAGCCTCAAAAAGATGACGCTTTGAAATCATATCTATATTGGACCAATGTCGTTATTGTCAGATCGTCGGAACTTTTTGCCAGTCCGAAATGGTTGCGAGGCCAGTTTGAAAAGAACTCTGTAGTCGTCCTCTTTGGCTTCATTATCCGCGTGATGGCCATAGAGAGAATGGCGTTCTGGAGGTCGAGTCCGCACTGACCATAACGAGCAGTGCATAAGCAGCGATATCTCGAGTTGCTGAACCCTTTTTCCAGAAGAAAAGAGGCCCGACGCCCTTCTCAATCCAAAATCTGTGAGCTGAGACTTTCAAAAGGCCAAGTGCAATCTGTCTGTGATATGCCCGGCTGCGGCTATCAGAGCTCCAGTTTGGAATTTCTCCCTTTGGGTATGGTTGGCAACGTGCCTTGTTTGAACGAGTGGGGACTTCCTCTGGTGTTGCGTGCAGGCATCGTGTGTTGCTGGGGCAGCCAATGATTGACCTCACCAAATTGGAACCTGAGGTTATCGTCGAACGAACCTTTGCGTATTTGCTGGTAAGCTCGCCTTCTTGCCAGTCTGCTTCGGCCGTTCAGTTTTTGAGTTATCATCAAAAAACTTGACTGGCAGACAATCAACTACATGAAGCTTACTGGAGGGACCGTCGAATCAGAACCAGCGTTAGTACCTCCGGCAGTGATTTGAGTATGCGGGGCGTTTGGAGACTCTCGCGCTGTGTACATCATCGACTTGTGTATGCCTGCCGAACCTTCGTTTGCGTGCTCTCACTACACTACTGACACTGATCGAGTTCATCGCCAATGCCCCTTCCTTTGCACCCTTTGCAGAGTAAAAGAATTACACGCCAGACGGAGGGGCTTCTGCACAGTGAGACATTCCCGATCAATTACTTCAGTGTGTCGGAAGTAGAACAGTGGTTCGACGATTTCAAGATCATGTTTGACAACCAGGAGCTGGTGGGTAACTACTGGCGTTTCAATCGGCTGTACGATTACGGGGCTGGCTACTCTGATTCGCAGCCGGAGCTTGGTCCTCAAGGGGACGATAAGCAGAAGGCGTTTAGCTGGTAGTTAGAGGGGCCGAACTGTTCTGAACTTCCGGTCAGTTTGCAGTACGGCTGAAGCTAGTAGGTCAATTAGAATAAAAGACGCACTTGGCATACCCTTTGAGTTCTGGAGCTTTTGAACGGACTGTAGTAAATCTGCCTCAGAGAGTTCAGTGGCAATTATCGCCAAGTTACAGGTACTCTCGCCAATTTACAGGTTTTTGGGTCAGCAAAGGCACCAAGCTGCACAGTCCTTGTAAACCTCGCTCGCAGGAGTTGAGGCACGTGTACAATAAAAGTGTCCCTTTCCAACATATCCAGGGGCGTTAGTATCTTGATTTGTGCCCAGCTTTATCCCTATGAAAGTGGATGTTCATATCCACTTCGAATCGTTTCTCGACTAGCTAACCTTTGTTCGATTGCATGAGTGAAAGTGACAGTAGAACCAGTGTTTCCCCTAATTATTTTGATTGCTGGCCGCCGGGCCGGCCGGGGCCTGAGTTTGTCGACCCGTTGGGCCGGGCCGACATCGCCATTGCCGGCCCAAGTCCCACCGCAATATATGGTAATCTCGCGCGCGCACCCCACATTATAACTTTTACAGTTTCTGCTCCAGTTTCGTAATCTTTTATAAGTCTCTAGCTTTTTAACGTGAGAAATATCGACCAACTTCCTACCTCACCTACCGAGGGGCTTATTTTGTGCTAGTTCTGGCCAGAAGTACCCGGGGGAGTGTTTTTCTTGGGACCAAAACCTTGAATTGTCATCAAATTCTATTCTCTTTAAACACTAAATACGATGACAGTGGAGCCAAAAATGTCACATGAACTTTCATTGCCGGCCCAAGAGGCCGGCCGGTGCCCCGCAATGCCGGCCGGATGGGCCGGAGGCCGGCCCCCATTGCCGGCCCAATTTGACCATTGCCGGCCATTTTACCAGAGAGTGGGCCGGCAGGAGAAACACTGAGTAGAACTGAGAATAGTCATAGCGCATGTAGTCAGCCTGTGTACGCGTAATATACGACTGGTAATAATGGTACGAATGGTAATATACGACGTACTGCAATCTTTAAGTTCTCAAAGCAACCGTCGGACTGTTAGTTAACCCTTAGTAATATACAATCGTTTGGAAGCAGGCTCGCAGGCCTGGCAATAACTTATAAGTAACTTGTATCGACCCACTGAACATTTTCGAGCTCACCGCATCATTGGGCCATCATGCATGCATTGGGTATATTTATGTAACATGAGCCCTCCACTCTGGCACCGCCGTATATCCGGAGCTTAGCGGGGTCGAAGTTCCGTTTTTGGCTTTTGCGGATGACGTTGTTCTGCTGTCGACGAGTGCGGCGGGGCTGCAGAAAAAGTTGGGGCTTCTGGAAGAGTTCAGTAAAGAGAGTGGGCTCCCGGTAAACCTTCAAAAGACGGAAGTTGTGGTCTTTGGGGGTCAGTTCGCTGTGCAGAAAGTGAGGAACGAGTTTCAGTATGCGGGAGAGCGGGTTGCAATTGCGCAGAGCTATCGCTATTTGGGGGTGCAATTTCATTGCAACGGCAATTTTCGGGAGGGGGTCCAGGTTCTGGCGGCGGCCGGGCGGAAAGCAGCTTTCGCTCTGGAGCAAAGGTGTGCGGAGTTGGGGGCGCGAAGGATAAGGACGCGGGTCGGTTTGTTTGACGTGCTCGTAGGGCCGATTCTGCAGTACGGGGCGGAAGTATGGGGCCCGGGGTACGGTCCAAGGTGGGGGTGGAACGGGGACGGGGATTGTGTGGAGAAAGTCCACCGGGCGTTTTTGCGGGGGCTCTTGCGGGTCAAGAAGTCGACTCTGTCCAAGGCGGTTCTAGGCGAGTTCGGCCGGTTCCCTCTGGTTCTGCCTAGATGGGAGCAGATCTTTAGATTTGTTAATCGAACCGCGAACCTTCCGCAGGATCGACTAGCTCGGTTGGCCTTAGAGGAATCCAGGCGCATGTGGGCGGATGGTGAGGGAGGGTGGTTTGCAGAAGTCGTGGCAAAGGCCAGAGAGTTAGTTTTTGACGACAAAATTGTGCAGGGCTTTGATGTGAAGTCTCTCCGGAGTCTATCAGAATTTGCATACATGCAAGATTTGAGAGAAGAGCACGGTCGTAAGTACTGCACGTATTTTGAGGAGGTGAAGCAAGGCTACTCGTATGAGCCCTACTTAGACCAGATAGAGCATGCGCCGTTTCTTCATGCGCTAGCCAAGTTCAGAGTCGGAGCTCATAATTTGGCTATTGAGACCGGAGCCTGGCAGGGGGTACCTAGAGCCGAAAGGTATTGTGCCTTGTGTGCAACGGGTGAAATAGAGGACGAACATCACTTCGTGTTCACTTGCCCAGTGTATACTGACCTCAGGATAGACTTCCCATATATCTTTCAGGATAGAGGAGAGATAAACTTGAGAACGTTCCTTAGTCTACAAGATACTTACGTGATAGGAAAGTATTTGCACTTAAGCTTTGCATTAAGAGCGAGTTTAGTGCAGAGTTAGTAAATAGAGACATTCGTCGACTTAGCCGACCACGGCTCCGAACCGACGTTAAATCAACTAAATCTAAAATCTAAATCTATAGCTCCCAACAAGACCGCCGGGTACGGTACCCAAGATCGAATCAAGCTTCAAAATAGGATATTCGAACCCCGCGTACATTTAAGTTCGGGCCGATTTCACCCCCATCCTATTCAACATGCACGTCCTCGGACTCAAAGCTTTGCATGAAATTTTTCTCTGAAAGTTTGAGAACCTGAGCAACCGGCCAGGGTAATAGCACGAATGTTGTCCATGTTTTGCTAGCTAGGTCGTGGCCATTCGCTAGCTCAAGTTGCCAATCTTTTAAGCATTGAATGTCGTCATTATCGATTCAAGCAGGGTAATACCGTGCAGAGGTACTATAGCTCGCCGTACGTGCATGACTTGGGTGCGTTCGGTGCATCATTCTGGTGATATAGAAGGAGACGACAATGATCTGTATGTGCTTAGCTTCCAAGGAACCTTCCATAAAGAAGGGTCGTTGGCGCATAAAACTCGAATATTATCTACTCAGGGACGATTTCAATACGATTTGTCTTCAAGTACTGAAGTGGCAGGAACTGACGATTCCGGGTAAGCATGACTATTTTTGGATGCTCCATAAATATTTTGGAAGGCTGTAAGAGACATGGAACAAGCATGGAACAAAATACTAATCTGGCTGCTGCATAAATGGGGTGCCGACAATTTATCACATATCCTACATTATTTCAACTTAGCAGCATAATCTACAATGGCGGCCGCAATGGTCGATATCCTCAGAAGAGAAGCAGTAGAAGAGGAATGAGCAGCTCAGTGGTGCAGGACCCGAGCAGGACTATCCTTTTGATCAACAGGTTTCGCTCACCTTGATGACCTTGATGATCATTTTCCAAGGTGGAAAGGTGGAATCATATTTGAATATTTCTCCTCTCTTCGTAAGTGAAATCTCGCTTTACACATCATGACCTTCACACATGGGAAACCCTGGTACAATTACAAGATGCGCGTTGGAACCTCAGCTGGGACGTTGTGGAATGGATGATCAACATGCTGGCAGAGTTCACTGCGCTCGATCTGATGGCGGAGCGCGGGCGCTGGCGGAGCGCGGCCGCGAGCGGCGCGCCCATTATGCGGCGGGTTTTGTAGAGGGTTTAGGGACTGGAGACGGTCAAAAACCGCGCGTGACCTGCGCGCATCCAGAAGGTTCTATTTAACTTTTAAGTTCTACTACTAGATAGAAACTGAAAAGCAATTGGGGCTTGTTCATTTCCAAACATTGCATTGCATTGCAGGGCGCTTGCAGCATTGCAGGGACCGCGTTATAGATTGTTCTTTGCTGCAAGTGAGAGATTCAGCAACAGAAGAAACCCTTCCGCATCTGCAAATCACTTTGAGATTTTTCTACTACTTTATTTTAAGTGCTGCGCCGCCGTTGCGATGGAAGATCTCAATCTCAACACGCCGCTGGAGGCAGGGGACGACGAGATGGACACCGCTGCCTGGGAGCCAGAGAAAGAGGGCACCGAGATCAAACTCACGGATGACGGGGGTGTGAAGAAGAAGATTCTGAAGAAAGGAGAGGGCTACCTCATGCCGGAGACTGGCGATGAGGTCACCGTGCATTATACTGGCACCCTGCTGGATGGAACAAAGTTTGATTCAAGCAGAGATAAAGACCGCCCGTTCTCTTTCACCCTGGGCAAAGGTGAGTTGCATTGTGGCCTGAAACCTTTTTTTGAGAAATGTTGGCACTGGCGAAGAGAACGGCCTTTCCTTCGAATGAAATTTGGTGGTTGTGGTTCCTGAATATTGATACTTTGTTGGTTGGGTGCATCCTTCTTCCAAATAAAGCGACTTGCTTGGCGGCATTTGTCAGTTCTGCTGATGAAAGCAATTCTTTCGGCGTTCCATCAGCCTCTGGTTGTTCCGGAAGAGGGTTTATGGTGGTACCATTTGGCAAGAGGTGCAAGAGGTGGAAGGTATTACACCATTGTCGCGTCGGAGGAAGCGCGGGTAGACCAGCGAGATAAATCCTTTTGACTCTTTTGGTAGCAAGTTCTGTAAAAGGCAGTCGCTGATGATGCCCCCTATGTTCCCTTATTTTGATTCAGCTGTCGTGTACTCAGGTCACTACTGAGAAATTGTCCTTGAGATTTTATCAAAGGGTTTGGAAGTGATGTGGAGTGCCTCAATCTGCTGACCAATGGCTCTTCTCTTGTAAGTTGCAAAGTAGGAGCGTCTGTGGTTGCATTTATTGGACAGCCTGATTCCACATTTATGTCCCAGCCTCTTTAGGAGTTTTTGATGCTTGAAAGATGCGCATTGCAAATTTTAGACGAGCTTGGTGGCCATCAGCTTCAGTAACGACTGTCCGTAGACTTGGGCTGATAGGTTCTCTTTTCTTGGTTTATTCACTTCCTTTGCTCTTGTCGTCCTCAGGTATTCCGACTCCTATTTTCCTTGTCAGGCACCCGACTTGCCAGTCAAGCTGCAGCCCAGCCACCTCCTTCTGCAGGGCTTGGTCGCCTGCCAGCCCGCCAGGTGGCGCCACGCCATTGACCGCATCCTGCAATCGCAGCCCGCTCGATAACTTTTGTCTATTCAAACAGTACACATCTTCCTCATTGCATTCACATGATTCCAATTTCCTGCGCAGGCCAAGTTATCAAGGGCTGGGACACCGCCGTTGCGACCATGAAGAAGGGCGAGCGCGCCATGCTTACGATCGAGTCCCAGTATGCCTACGGCGACGCCGGCGCGGGCGACTCCATCCCCCCCAACTCGACGCTCAACTTTGACGTCGAGCTCCTGTCCTGGAAGAGTGTGAAGGATATTACGGGAGACGGGGGAGTCATTAAAACGGTGGTGGCGGAAGGGAAGGGCTATGAGAAGCCGAACGGGCCGGACGAGGTTCTGGTCAACTACACGGTGAAGGCAGGGGGGGAAGTTGTGGAGGAGACCAAGGAAGGGGGTGAGTGGTTGTGTGGCTGTCTTCGCAGGAGTATCGTTTTCCTTTCTGTGGTCTTTTTGCTGACTTTACAGGCATGTATGTGGCCTTTTTGCTTTGTCTCGCATGTTTTCTCTCTTCCGAGATTGCTGTTCAGTTGAAAGTACCCTGGTTACCATTGGGAAGAAGATGTAGGTTTTGTGAAAGCCAGTCGCCTCATCTCGTTGATGGCAGCCGCTGTTGACGAGTACACCGGCTGGCTTTGTTGGGGAGACTGAATATATTCATACATCAAATTCTTACTACCAGAGTTTGCCCTTACTTGGAACAATGACTTGGCTTAGTCAATTTGTCAGGCAGACCTGAAAAGCTTCGACCATGAAATCCTTGTCACAGCCAAGAGTTTGTCTTTACTTGGAACAACGACGTTGCTAAGACATGTCATGCAAATCAATCCTGCCCTGCTCTGCTGGCTGGCGGATCTGGTAGGACTACACCAGCTGGCACCTTCGCCAAAGGTCGCAAGCGAGCTCAAATGCACTCGATAGACTGTGCTTTTCTTGACGGATTGGAATCTGCTTTTGTATGCAGGTTTGGAGTTCTCGCTGGAGGACGCCAGTGCTGTGCCCCCCGCCGTCAGCAAGGCGGTGGCCACGATGAAGAAGGGCGAGAAGGTGTCCCTGCAGGTGGCGCCAAAGTACGCGGCCCGCCCCGGCGAGGTGCAGAGCAAGGGCGTCACCATTGACCTGGAACTGGTCTCCTGGAAAACGGTGAGCACAAATTCCATCCTTCTACGTCAGCCCCCCAGGCTAGAACAGAAGCCATCTGCCTTCTTCTTTCAGTTAATGTTGCCGTCGTGGAAGCCGGCTCTATCGGTTTCCATGCTAATATCCCGTTGGAAATTGACTTCTCAAACTGCCAGGTTTCCAGTGTTTATCGGCAAGGAAAAGCTCGCAGAATGTGTCCTCTCGGGAGATTCGTCGATGGAATTGTAGGCTTTTCAAGTCATGTGTCAAGAAGGGAACTTCCAGAAAATATCCGACGTGTTTGAGGCTTAGCGTCTCGTTTGCTGTCCGCAGTTCTCTCTGCTCGGTCAAAGTACCACAGCCCGCGAGGGAGAGTTGCCGGCAAGGGCCCTCTTTGTCTTCCAGCTTTACCGTCATTTGGATTCATCTTGCTATCGCCCCCAAAGTCAGATGTTCTCCATCACCACCGCTTAGTCGTAAGTCTCAAAGTGAGACCATTATTCAGCTCAGCAAACATGCTCCATTTCCTTTCCCCGTCACCATCTCCTTCCTCGCCACTCCCTCCTTACCACTTTGACTTTTTCTTACCACGTGTTCTCTCTCACTTCAGGTTTCCAAGGTGTCGGAAGACAAGAAGGTGATGAAGAAGATTCTCGAGGAGGGCCCCAACTTCGAGAAGCCCGGCGAGTTCGCAAAGGTCAAGATCGCGTACGAAGCGCGCCTGCCGGACGGCACCGTCTTCGACCGGCGGGAAGCGGATGACGCTTTCGAGTTCACGACCGGCGAAGAGGAGACGATCACCGGGCTAGACTTGGCAGTGCAAGCCATGAAGAAGGACGAGAAGGCGGTGGTCAGCATCGCACCGGAGTACGCGTTTGGAGCGGAGATCGTGGATAAAGACGGCTTCTTGGCGCCTGTGCCAGGAGGTGAGAAGAGATAATTCGTGCCGAGTTATTGAGTCATTCGGGGTGCTTAGAGAGGAGCAGGAAGGGTGTAATGGCAGCACTTTTGGCGGTTGTCGAGCGTAATGAATGGTTTGGGAGACAGGGACACAAGTCGACCGCAGTCAACAGCTCAGGAATCGCTCCATCAGACTGCGAAGCCGACAGCTTTAGCGTCCACGATGGAAATTGGTTTTTCGATGACACCCGGTCTGGCACTAAGCAGCGTCTGAGCAAGCCAGCATGAACTGCACCTTCCTGCGCTTGGTTCTTCTTTGGTTAAGTTACCGCCTGATGGTTACCTGCTTTCCCTTTCCTTTAATCAAGTTCATCCAACCCTCCTGAGCTCCGACCATAAGGTACACGGTGATGCTTAACCCCGTTGCTCTGACCCTCCCCAGCTTCGACTAGGGAGTACACGGTGACGCTGCTTGAGATGATCAAGGACAAGGAGTTGCGAGAAGCAAAGCTGACATTTGAGAGGCTGGCGAAGAGTGTTCAACCGCCCAATGTTTACTCTGCTTAACCCAGTCCTCCTAACCCTGCTCAGGTTCGAGCGTGGAGTACACTGTGACGCTGCTGGAGATGACCAAGGACAAGGAGTCGTGGGACCTAAAGGAGACACCGGAGAAGCTGGCGGAGGCGGGCGTCAAGAAGGAGGCCGGCAATGCGCTGTTCAAGGCTGGCAAGTACGAGCGCGCCTGCAAAAAGTACGACAAGGTGAGGCTGCTGCTCCATGTACGCGTTTCAGACGGCTCTAGTTCCAAACCAAAGTTTTAAGCAAGCTTCGGAAGGGTCGGCGAGATGAAGTGCAATGTATAGATTCCATGGCTTACGTTACGTTTTCACTCTCTTACTTTGCTTTCATGTACAGTCGTCAGTGTCCTGATTCACCTCCTCATATGTGCGGCGTCAGCTTTTGCCCCACTGAATCCGGAAGGCTCGATAGACACGACCCAAATCCCTCTGTTCTTCGAATCTGCAAGAGCTTCGCTACAGTGACTGTGACGACAAATCATCCTCTGATTACAAATTGCGCAGATTACAAAGTGCGCACAAAAAGAAAGGTTCTCCGTACTGTTGCCCGATCAATCACTCCAAGTCAGTGACCCATTCGGCCAGCAAGTGTCAAGTCTCAAATTGGCGAGATTGCCTTGTCGTGCAGGGGTTGAGCTACATTGAGTACGACAGCGCATTCTCGGACGCGGAGAAGAAAGCGAGCAAGGCGCTCAAGGCGAGCATGCACGGCAACAAGGCGGCCGCGGCGCTCAAGCTGCGCGACTGGAACGCCGCCATCAAGGCCGCGTCGAAAGTGCTGGAACTGGAGCCGGTGAACGTGAAGGCGCTCTTCCGGCGCGCGCAGGCGTACCGCGAAACGGAAGACTACGATTTAGCGGAAGCGGACCTGAAGCGGGCAATGGAATACGAGCCGGCCAACAGGTGGGAACGCGCCTCTTGGTTCGCTCGAGCTGCGCTGCGACTTTCTGTATAGGATGCGTTACAGACCTGCACGAATGGAATGACGTTTTACAGTGTTGTCAAAAGCTGCCGATGCCCTGAAACTGACTGTCCGGAAAAGGAAGGGCTTGCTTGACACCGTGGTACGAGTGATTGTGGGCTGCTCGGACGGATTGCCTTGATCGGCTGCCAGAGATTCTTGCATCACTCCGTTTCCGAGAATGGGCCATTATTCGAGCATTCGAGACTGCGGCGAACTGCATCCGCAACGAACCGTAGTCCATGGCCGGTCAATGGTTCAGCGTTGGCTGTGCCCTAAGATGCCACGTGAGTAACCGTCGAGTGACGTCACGCCGCAAATGACCGTAAAAAGGTTCTGGCTTTTCTGACGTTGTGGCGTCTGCACCCGTGTGGTGCAGCCATATGCGGTGCTAACAAGGTACAAGATACCAGTGTTAATGTCATGGCTGCATAGTCACTATTCCTTTTGAGTTTCAAAAAATAAGGGACTTTGATGATCCAGGGCTGGGCTGACGTGTGCGCGCGCGGTGCAGGGATGTGCGCGCGGAGTACAAGGTGCTGAAGCAGAAGTGGGCGACGTACCAGAAGCGCGAGGCCGCGCTCTACAGCAACATGTTCAAGCCGCTCAAAACGGAGCCCAAGTGAGTGCGCGCGCACTGGGAGTGCTATCGAGGCAACGCTTCTATGCAAACGAAGACAATTGTCTTGTCTCCCTTCCGAAGCGGTTGTGATTGGTCCTAAATTGGAAGCAAGGACTGGTCAGGTGATCATGGAAGCCGTGCCGAAGAGATTCCCCGAGCCTCACTGACAGAACGGATGGAAGGAGAACAAGGACTCCCGGCGGAGTCCTAGGTAACCCCCTTCTACTATAACCCGTACGATCGACGGTCGAAATCATCAGATCTGGTCATCCCAGACCGTCGATCTAATGGGTGTAAGCTAGGAGGGTCTCCGATACCGCCTCGGGAGTCGGGAGTCCATCTTCTTCGTCCTTCCGTTCCGACAGTGTTCGCATGCGAAGCTTACTTCTTTGCCTATGTGGCTGTCCCTTATCGATAGTCCGCAGAGGGCGTGCCACTTTGTTGTACTGACGCTTGAAGGCTGCTAATTTCTGCAGGGTCTAAGCTCTTTTCAGACTTGGGTGTTGATTCGAAGTTAGTCACCGCGCTCCCTGTCTCCCCCTCGTCGAATGGATGATGGTCCGACTCCCACTTGTAATCGCTTTTGTCGACTTTTGTACACCTTTGACCTTTGTCGCTTTGTGGTCAAAGGTGTACAGGACACCGTGTTGGATTCTTATTCATCAGAAGACCAATTGACTTTCCGAACTTGTGATGCAGGCCGCATTCAAACGGAACGAAAGTCGCGGAAGCTCCTGCTGTGAGCGCGGTGCATGACGTTGAGGCTCCCCTTGGGGCAGCACCCATGGACACGACCACCGGTGCGGCAGATGAAGCAGGCTACTTGTAGGACCAGATCGTGTCTAGAAGGATACAAAAACGTTGAGAAATGAGGACCGTTTTGACAGAACATGAGCGCCTCGACTCCAGCTCTGACGGACAATGAAGTACGTAGTTGGTTGCTTCGAATGTCGCACAGCTACTTAAACATGCATGTACCATCGACATGCAAGGCAAGCTTCGACTTAGTATTAGTCCTACTGTCCCTCCACTGATAAGTCATTCGTAATACAATTTCGCAGTACTCTGCAATCCGCGTCAGCACCAGCATCATAAACTTGAATTGAAGGACGACATGATCGGTGAGCTGAAATTAATTGATTGCAACCATCCGGAGAATTCAACTAGCTGTGCCACTGAATCATCGCGGCCGGCATGCCCGCGCGGCGGCGTGCATGCATATAGTACTGCAATGTCATATATGTCACAAGAATATACTGCATTAGATAAGACTTACGCGGCATGGATGGACACGTACGATCTATATACGAGTGCGACCATTCTTGAGATTAAAGAGGTAGCACCCGGCCGTCAACTATGATCGAGCATTTTTAATGATAAGGGCTTAATTCGTAGTCCATGTAAACCGCTCGCGCTCGACTCGATCATGCAACATGAGCAAACCGTCCCATGTTCTTTGTGCACCGATCGGTATAACTAAACAAGCAACACGCGTAGACGGCGGCGTCACGCCTCACTGTCAGGTTTGACTTAGCCGGATTGCTTGCTGATCATCGATCAACCTGGCAAACCCACCACGACTGGCAACACACAGGTTGAAATGCTCAGGTTTGTACAGATGATACCGAAGCACCAAAAGCGTCCGCTTGCTTGGGTTCCATCTGATCAGAATCAGCTTCTACTGTCATATTCTTGGGCAGACCAGCCCAGGTGTTCCTCCAGAATTCTCATAATTGACCGGAATACAAGAACCTGTTCCTTCTAGACTAAAGGCGGACTGATCTACCCGCTGGCCTTTCCTAGAAACTCGACGTCGAAGATCAAGGTAGAGTTGGGTGGGATGACGCAATTGCCTGCAAAAACATGTGGTTGACAAGGGTCAGCACTGCTCATCCAGGCAATAGAGAACGGCTCATCAATTCTGTGAACGTCAGCTTGTAATAGTGACACAGAATGACCAACCTCAAGTCGCTGGCATTATGTTTCTAGCGCGCTTCTCTGACAAGCAAAAAGGTTCCGCCTTTGGTGGGTGTGGATTCCTATCCCTAATTCCCGTAGCATAGCTTTACAAAGACACTGATCTCGACAAAAGTTCGGCCAGTTGACGGGAGTGCCAGAGCCAAGCTGCTCTCACCTCCTCTACAACCAGCCCCCCTGGCGCCGTACCCGAGCGCTGCAGGAATCCTCAACACGCGCTTACCCCCTGCAGCGCACACGGAAGGTGACATGAGGGATGTAGAGGCGACCCGACACACCATGAGATTCTAAAGCTGCCCCATGAGGGTGTGAGGCCTCCATGGCTCCTAACTGCTGGAGAGCGCTCGTCCTGCTCAACTGTCTGTTTGCATCGAGGGGGTCGTTAACCAGGAGGGTATAACGCTAAAGTTCTTTGTATCTATCTTCATGCATGTCCATGAATGTTTCCTTCTCGAGAAGAGCGTTCCATCGTCAATCAAATTTACTTGCAGATTCGATACTGCTATCTCAGAAGAGCCCACACGAGCGGCAGAACCAAGTCCGGAAAGAAACTGACCATTTTTCAAGCTTTCACCTTCTCAACTGAAGAGAGAACGTGAAGACTGCCCAGACCATCCCTTCTAAACCTGCATGTATCATGTATCATGTATCGTCTCACCGGGGCTACCAAGATTCCATAAACGACACCCAAACCCGTAGATACCGTACCTGCTTTCATGGCGGGGATGCCCTCTGCCCCCAGGATACCTTGGTCCCAGCCTTTGATTACCTGCAACCAGTGAACGGCAATGAAAACCCCGGCCCGCGCATTGCCCAGACACTGAAAAGCTAGCAGGTGGAACACCTCAATATGGAAAATTGCACCAATTCGCATTCTGTTGCCCTTGTATGACGGTCAGGCAAATGCACCGATTGAGCGAACCTAGACAAATATTTTGACCCTCCTTCCTCTCCTGCCGGACCGACCAGGATCATACTGCCTGTCCATCAAGAAGGACAGGGGTGCGGCGGTCAGCAGCTAAATGATGCACATGAGCTGTAAAAGTCGGGGGGCCAATGCCTTCTCTAGCTTTCCATGCCCTGTCCTGCCTCACCTCTCCAGCCCCAATCCTGAACGTAAGCGGCTTCCCCCGGGTGTAGCTGGAATCAAACACCTTGCCGTTGGACTCCAACCGGCCAGTGTAGTGCGCCTGAGAATAGAGCAACAACTGCTTAGAAACAACATGGAGCAGCGGCCGAGGAGAAGCTAGCGCAGCAATCAGCGTACTGATTCAACCTGAAAACAGGGGATATGCTGGTGCCAGACGAAGCCAGTGCTGCTGCCCTTCGGACTGATTCTCCTGTCTCTCTTCCGTCGTAACTTTCAACCAACTTCCGCAACTTCCTTCAAATACCGTCTGAGAAATTGCCTCAACATGCAGACTAGAAGATTGTGGTGAAACCCATGCTGTTCCAAAAAGTCTGACAATTGCTCTGCTTTGCTCCAAGATTCAGTGGTCCTCCTCTGCTCATGTATTTCGGGTCAGGATCAAAAATGGAGCAGACGCCTCACTTTAATGAGCTGCCCTTTCACCGGCTCCGCACCCGCGCCCTCGCTAGTTTCCTTGAACCCTAATCCTGACGGCGAAGTTACGAAATCACCAGCCTCGTCTGCATCCGCCTGACTGGCCCCGAGACCTGCCCCAGCTGCGGCTAGCGCCCCTGCAACTGCCCCGACCATCGCCTGTCTCCTGCTGACACCTGACGTCTCCGCACTGGTGGCATCTGTTGTCTCAGGGTTTGAGGATTTTCGCAGCAATCGGAAACCAGGAATCTGGAACTTCTTTGTCATGAGGTCCTCTGAGGGCTCTGATGCTTTTTGTGAGGCGGCCCTGATCGTCAGACGGTGGCCCGCTGTGTGACGGGGGTACGGGGACAGGGCAATGTGGAGGCCATTGAAGAATGAGCTAGAGGTAGACGAAGCGGAGCGGCAGAGGGGGGAGGGGAGAAGGCGAGCACACAAGGGGGAGGAACAGGAGGCCACCGCCATTGCGCCGTCAGGTACAAGTACCTCCAGCTGACAGTGACACTGACAGAAAATATTACTCACAGTGTTCATTTGAAGAATTTCAGCCTGAATTGCTGATGCGCAACTAGAGAGCGGTGGGAAGCAGCATGCAAGCTGGAAATGCTGCGCAAACAAGGGCTGGCGGCCGGAGGCAGCCCGCCAATCAACTCGCACCGAAGGAAGAAGCCTTTACCGCGCGCTTTTTGAGCAAATATCTCGGGAAATATTTCCGAGACTCCGGAGCGGTTAGCAGCTTAGCATGAAGGTTAGGTACCTACTTGCTAGCCCTTGCCCTCTTGAAAGGGGGTTAGAGAATCTAACCCAAACATGAAAAAGTGCATGGAAGGAGACGGTTGTTGATGCACTGCATGTCAACTGATGAATTCGCTTGGGCAAGCCAGCGTGAGCCAGCGTCGTCCGTCCGTCTTTCAATTAGGTAATCTTTCCTGCATTTCTTCTTGAAGAAGCGCTCCTAGCCTAGGACCTAGGTACATTACTAATTAGTAGGAGAGAGCACCTACAGCTGATCAAGAGAAGTCAACTTTTTGCTTGCAAGCTGAATATTGAAGAGCATTAGGTACTTTGTACTTTCGTGAGCCCCTTGTGAATCGACGAGCAGCAAAGAATAGTATCTAAGGTGCAGTTCCCGCGTGGAGAACACGAAGTTTTAGGGTTTTTGATCAGACGCTTGAATTCTGGAAAACCTTCTTCACTGCAGAAGCTATGGAGCAGAGCCCCACTGATTTGACTGGGGTACTGTTCAGCGACCCGCTGTGGCTGCAAAGTTTCCCTCTCAACAGGGCGACCGTCCTGGACTACTTTGCATTGTCGCCGTTTTATGATGCAAGTTGCAACAATGAGAAGTTGAAGGCGCAGGGGAAGGACCTGTCGCTGCTCTCGTGAGTGCTACGCAACTTTTCATGCAGATTTCTGTTGTTTTTTCCAGACAACAAAAAGAAGATTCAACAAGGTGAACTCTACAGGCATAACAGTGGTTGCTTGCGTATCACTTTGACAAGCTTGGATGCAAAAGAAAAGGGAACGGAGCAGAGAATATGGAAAAGTCTGCCAGTCTATGGCAAGTGGTTGCAGTCACGCTGAATACCACCTTACATCCTGTGTCTTCGACCCCACTTTTCACTTTGCAAGTCATCAACACCGCATGTCCCGCAGGACGATGCCGTATGGCCCGGAGTACGTTGTCATCTCCGCCCAAGAGCCCAACCTGTATGTCATCCGGAAGCAGCTCCGGGTTTCGCCTGACAAGATGGTGCCCCTGGCGGCCTACTACGTCTTGGACGGATCCATCTACCAGGCGCCCCACCTGCAGGCAGTGCTCGGCTCCAGAGCGGTACGGCGCCTACGTTTCAAAGTTTTCGGCTCAGTTTGTCTTGGACAGCGTTGCTTGTCTCGCTGGCGCCTGATGGGGTTTAAAGAGATAGATTTCGCCCCTTCACGGCGTTCGGTCAGGAGTGGCAGACTTTGGGTGGGGCCCTGGTGCAGAGTCCGCTTCTCGTGAACAGTCAGAAATTCAAGTAGAGGTGGCAAATGCTCAGGAGGCGATCTTGGTACTTTGGAAGTGATGAAAGCTCCAGTTCAGAAGATGAGGGTTGTTGTTTGCCGGTGGCTATGTCACAGAGGGTGTCCGCCTGAGCGTTCTTGGATATGGAGCAGTCCTTTCAAAGAGATTTCATGCTGCCTTCTGTTCAACTGTTGATGAGCTTCTCACATTCATGTTCAGCTGGCAACATAAGCAGCTCCACTGATAGCTCCAGTCAGCGACGCCGTTTTTCACAACTTATATTGAAGCGGGAAAACATTCTTGTCCCTGGTGCTGTTGCAGGAGCGCAGCCTGTACTATGTGCAGAGTGGGTTTGGAAAGGCGGCCATGAAACTCAAGGAGCACCTAAGAGAAGGTGTGTCTTTCTACCCCCCCATGTCTAGTGCCACTTTTGCAAAAGCCCCGTCAGATATGCACTTTTGGGGTGTGCCGTTTTGAAAGTTTTGTTGTTGTCTTTCTGTTACCACATTTCGGCTTCTGCACCATGATTTCGCGACAGTTTGGAGCCTTACCAGTTGCGAACACTAGTACTTTCGAAACGCCGTTTTCAGGAATAGTGGGCCTGAGTGTGATCTGTACTTCGATGAGCTTTTGCGAAGAGACTATGCCCCTCTTCCAGGTCCTCTTAATCTGTCGGATGACCTCTTGTGACTCCTCATTGATCGACTCTGCTTCAAAAAGATTTTGAACTCACAAAGGCTGGCTCTGCATTTCAGACGAAGAAACACGGGACACTGCTGTGAGCCAAGCGAGGGCGGTCCCTGAGATAGAGCCTGTGGATCGAGCGGAGGCCTTCTACATGGACCAGATTATCACGTCCGTCCTGAAAAAGGTGCGTGTCTCTCGGGACTGATCTGATCGGAATAGATAAGGTTCGCTGTTTAAGATGCAGAGTCACGAAACGGAGAACGACAATTCAAGCAACGAGATCTGCAAGCGTAGGCAAAAACCCTGTTCAATTCATTGGCAGTCGCAATGCTTGAGTATGAGCTCGGCATTCTTACTTGACCTACCTTGTTGCCAATTGTTTCATCGTTGTTACGGTATCATGTAACCCAGGGTCAGCCTGAAGGGCGTCTACCACTCAAACATACACAGCAATTTCGAGTAGGAGACAAAGGTACTTCTGGTGTCAAGGTTGTTTCTGATGAACGGGTCCCTTGGTGCAGCTGCCACCTCCTGCAGGTCCTGTCGCTGCGTCAAACGGCGCGCCCGAGACTGCAACACCGGAGTCGCCAAAGCCCAGGGTTGATGCGGCTGCAGGGGTGACTGCTTAGATAGGATCGATATCCTAGACGAGAAACGCTTGGCATATCAAGGTGAGAGTTGAGGACTGGTATTAGGCTGTAATATAAGGTGTCAAATGTCAGGGTTTGAAGGTTGCTGGTCGTTCTGCTGGGAGGCCGAAAAGGTGTTTGTGAGCTTGTTAGACTCGGCGCCAGCTAGAGATGGAAGCATGAAGAAGCTATCGATAGCCCGAGCGGGCGAGTTGGGGTTGCTTGGAAAGGATGCCGCCTCGCCAAGCCGCAAAGGTGGTAAGAGTGTATGCATGGTTATTCGTAGGGACAGGGGAATGACCTTCAAGCTGCCCAATTGCAAGCAAGCAGAGACTGATAGGGTGCCAAAAAACTCGTTCTGCGGACTGAAGCAGACAAAATTAAACTTGAGTTTTGGTGCCGGGATTGCATAATGCCTAAGCATGACCGTTGTGCGGAGGTAGTAAAGACCAGTATGTGTGTAAAGCTTTGTGGCACTGGATCTCATGCACGTCTAGGAGACGCCATCAGTGGTCATCTTTGAAAGCCACTTGCTTCACTTTTAGCCGCAAGGAGTCGTGCGGCGCCTTCCAATTTGATCAGCTGATGCCTTGCATATCGGTTCAGGGCAGTGACTTTCATTTAACCCGAGGTTTTGGGGCTGTGCGGCTAGTTTCTGAACCCCCGATTTAATGAATCTACATATGTCACTACGCACCATCTCAAACGACCTTATGGTAGTGTCATATACGGTATCAACTTATGTGAATCGGCATTTGCTCAGTCGTACTCGATTGGGCACTGAGCTAAAGATTGTTGACCGGCAACCGAAACATGGCCTTGAAAGCCTTTGGCCCCGCCGGCTGCTCGATTGGAAGTCGGTAAGCAGGTCCGGCCGCCAGGTTACGAGTCTGCGCAGATCGCTCAGTATATACCACGTTTTGAATTTCATTTAGGTAACGTGCTTGGACCGCGGTATACAATGAGTTCGTCTACTCAGCTTGAGCTAGACTGTAGGCGCGTCCGACGGCCATCACTGGGCGGCAGTATATATGTACTTTACTAGAGGTCCCGGACTATTACTGGAGACCGAGCTGAGCCGCGCAATTAAGAGCTATCATATGCACTGCAGCCGCCCCGGGCCCTAGTAGTTTGGCGCCAGAAACCGCGGCGCCCGCTCACCATGGGGCGCGACCTACTAAGTTGTCACGGTGCTATCTAAATCCCGGATCTCAGGCTGGGCGCCCGCCGCGATGGATTGCATGCAATATCGACTTGCAAGCTTAATATTGACCGGAGGGACGCAGGGACGGTGCCGAATGGTGAGATCTGGCTGTCCAATTATACACACCATGATCGACATGTTTCACTACGTTACAAAATGGTTTGATCATGATCATATGTGCATATCTAAATATACTTTTGCATCAGTACGTACATATATAAAGTACATGGTCACCACCAGACGGCCGTCGACCACGCGCTTGTGCGCGGTGGCCGGCGGCCGTTTCAAAGCCCGCAGCGGGCCTGCAGCACCGCGTAACGCAATGAGAGGGAAGCGGCCACCCTCGTGCACTGGCAACTAATTCTTGACTGATCTCGAATTGCGTAAGTTAATTGTTGTCGCATGCATAACCTTCATACCGGGCGAGAAGATGATGCATCCCAAGCATGCAGCGCTGTACATAGCTCGAGATTAACCAGCTTCAAACAACCAACATGATCGAGAGATCCCTATTGTTATGTACGCTTTGATCTCAGTGCTGAAGACTTCACCTAAGCTTTCGGTTCTAATTGATTGTACGGTCAGGAAACGCGCCAGTTGTGGTCGGACCGGTACTTCGAGCCCAGCCAGCTGGGCGCTCACTCCAACATGCGGTTATATGCATGCAGCATTACAAGCCGTTCCCTTGAACATCACAAAATCTCCTCTTGATGTAGAAAGAGCCCGGCGCGCCAATAGCAATTATGTACGTGTTTTTTAGTGTAGCAGCATTCTGATTCTGACTGTACTACAAGGCCGTATAGTACTGATTGTTCTAGACTGCGCTGCTCTTCTAGGCTAGGATAAAAATGGGAAGTCTCCCGTACGGGGTTTGCGTTCTACCTTCGACCTTCTTTTGACCTTCTTCGCTACATCCAAACGAACCCCGAACTTAAAGCAGATTTGTTCGAACCAATCGTAAAGGCCAGCTCACCACAGATTACGCTCCTTCCGAGAGTCGATTTCCTCGCATTGAATTCTTGCAAAAGCGGTGGGGCCGTCAAGCTAAGTCCTTACATCACCTACCGTACTACAGTAACATCGTCACAGAATCGGTCGCGCTGTCGAACTGATCCCTGTGATCTGACTCAGTCCAGATTCTCAAACAACCAATGCCAAGAAGTATCCAGCTCAAAGTTCACCTTGTCGCTCCGCTTGCTATACAGGCACAGCACGTGCGCTAGAAACGCGCACCCTTCCCGCACCTCGACGTCCGCGCCCCCGGCAACGACCACCCCCTCGTGCACGTAAAAATGCCGCACCCGTTCCGGCGACACGATCACTTTGGGCAGCCGCCCGAAGAACGTGCTCATGGCGCTGCGGTCGATCAGATTGTAGTGCCGCAGCGGATGCGGCTCCGGCGACGTCCACAGGTCCACCTCGCTCTGCCCGTCGCCGGGGCAGCGCTCCCCCGAGCACATAACGTCGAAGCGCCGCAGCCGCGCCTGGTCGGCGCCACGCGCGCACGCGAGGACCGTGCTGACGTTGCCCCGGTGCGGCGTCACCAGGAACTCGTCGACGTCAGCAACGAGGATGCGGAGCCCCCGGCCCCAGTTCTCGAGCAGCGCGTGCGAGTACTGGAGCGGCTGGTCCGTCGTCGGAAAGCCCGGGGTGTCGTACTTGGGGAACGAGTCCCAGACAATGATCTGCAGCTGACCCCTGCTGACGTAATCCACCAGCTCGGCGTGTTTCAGCAGCTCGGGGACGTAGTGGTGCTGCACGTACACGATCTCCCCCGCGAGGCCCATCCCCACGTGGTGCCGCACGTGATGCACCAGCAGCTGCGCGGCCAGTGCGTAGCTGCCACGTGGCGGCTCGTAGTAGAACGACGACAGCAGGAGGAGGGTCTTTTCTGGGGTCGCGTGCGGGGGGGGCACTTCCGGCGCCTCCAGGTTGCGGAAGTAGTGGAAGCGCGGCCAGTCGTCGACGCGAATCTCCGGAACCTGGTCTCGCAGAGACAGGGGCAGCTCCCCCTCAAAGTGGAACGGCCGGATGTCCGTCTCGTCGTCAGCTTTGGCCACGGTCAGGGGGTAGATTCTGCGGGCGTTGGGCACCCCCGTCCGGATCTCGATCCGCGGGCGCCAGTTCCGGATCGCCTCCGGCTGCGCAATGTGGCGGTGCAGAATGGGCACTCCCTCTGTGGCCTCCACGAAGCCCCACCCCGCGCACAGCACCTCCCGCCCCGACGGCTGCAGCACGCATTTGACGAACAGGTGCAAAACAACGGTCGCAGGGGGGCCGACGTCACCGCTGATGTTATCCGTGACGTTCTCGTACCCGGGTATCTGGCCTGGGAAGGTGTAGTGCTCCACCGACATTCGTTCCGCGTACGACACCAGCGGAAGTGCTTCCGTGTGCTGGGGGCTTGCTAAGAGCGCAGCCAGCCCCGCTTTCTGAGGATTCCAACGGCTGTCTATTCCCAAACCCCAACCCGATCCCGAACTCAACACTTCTGCGCTCGCGCTTTGGCAAGGGGGTCCGGATTCTCTTGAAAACGGGAGGGTCCAATGGATGGTGGAAAAGAGGAAGAAGGCGCCGACACTCAAGAGGCAGAGGGTGGCGCACGCAAAGGCTCGCAGGCGGTCCGGCTTGATGTCGAGCGTCCGCTTGATGGACACCGATAACGCAATGCTGGCCATGGTGCAGCCTGGAGGAAAGGCGATACATCAGTGGCGCTAAGAAGCGCGATGTCTGCCCTTCTCAGTGAGCATTCAGCTCGCATTGTGAGTTCCGAGCTGGACCAGTCAAACGGGCCATGTGAGCAGACTGTCAGCAAACGGAGAGCTGCGAAGGCTTTCGTTCGAGATATTGTATTTCAAAGCAGACAGTGGGCCGGACACCGAACGCCTATCATGACAAAGAACTTCCATTTCGAAAGCATCTGTCCAAGTTTTGGAAGGCCGTTCTGGAAGTAAGGCGTGGTACAGCATCCACCCCAATCACGCTTCATGCGAGTGGCAGCTTCTTGAGAGGGACAAGCAGCAGGTGGACTCTCTCTTGTGTTGGATAGCTGATTGAGCTGCGGATGTCTTGTAATCCAACTGTGAACGAGGGTTGCTTCCTTCATGCCATTGCCTGATTCGTCAGCTTTGTCAAATTACCTCACTGTCAAGCTGCATCACCCTTCTGGCCCTCCGCCAGCCTCTTCCGTGCACCCAAGTAGAAACGCTAGCAGAAGTACTGCAGAATGGCAAATAAAAGTTGCTGAAATGCACGTGACCTTGATCTTACAGTCAACGTGAGCCAAAAATCCAAAAGCGCTGCCTGCGACCCTACACCGCGTGTGACGATTCAGTAGAAGAGGCAGTCGGACCGAAGATGCTCAGCTTGAACGAGGTGGAACTGCTCCCGCATATCAGTATGCAAATCTGTTTCTACAAACAGAGTATCTCGAAAAGCTGATCAGAGGTATCCAAAGGTACTCAAAGGCTCAGAAACAGGTTGCAACGAAGGAAGAGTAAAAGGGCCAACTCCTTAAGCTACGACAAAATGTGATCACAATCCCTGAAGCATTCGTTCAAAATGCTTACGCAGAGGTCACTCTTTCAGCAGCCGCTGTTTAACTGATGATGATGTGACTGACTCTTTTCTATGAGGATGGTGGAAGATGTGAACATAAGAAGCATGTCAGACAATTTGATCTTCGAAACAAAGAATTCAAACCACCATGACGGCACTTACAGCATTCAGGGTTCCTTCAGATGATGCTGCGAAAAACGCAGGAGGAGGGCTATTCAGTTGCATGTACTCTTCCTTCCTGGATAATTCAATCTCATGTTGCCTTCGGAGGTGTCAGCTGGCATCCTTCAGGGACAGCAGGCTTGTCTCAAGGTGCGGATCAGCTCCTGCAGCAGATTGGCAGACTGAGTATCGCCTTCCTAGCCTGACTGCTACCCTCTTATTATCAAGGCAAGGCTGAAGCAACGCTAAGAAGCTTGTCCTTGAGCCTTTTCAGATTGAAAACTTCGATACGAAAGCCCCTAACCAACAACAATCCTCTTTCCTTATGTTCAACATGCACCTTAATGTTGGAAACACAAGCGTCACATCCACAAAGCATCAGCTTCGAGAATCAAGGCCAGCTAGTCCTTGTTGAGAAGCCTGCAGGTTCTGGTCTTGTCATGAATAGGTGCCATGACGACGGACTAAGGAGCGCATGAAATTGTAAGCTAACTGTACCTTTGAGAGGTTCGAGGTCATTACAAAGACAACTGAAAGGCTGTGATGCCTGCAGCACCTGTTTATTCCTGTTCTCGAAAGCAACAGATCCCGAGAGGTTTATTCTTCTCCAAACCTAGTGCTCATCTTATCGAGTGAAAGCGCTTCTCAAGAACGACACTCGAAAAGACAATTGTGATTGAAGCTTGATCCCAGTCAAACTCAACCTTCTCTTCTTCGTTGGCAGCACCGCCGCCATGCACACTCGGACTACAGTTCTAGTTTTGAGTCAGTTCCTCGGACCTCGAAGACCGCGCGACAAGTCTGTCACATCAAGGGACAACATCGACATCATTCGACTTGCGCAAAACACAGGGTGGACTTCGTGAAGCGTACACCTGTCCATCAACGAATGCCAGATGTCGCGACCACGGCCAGTAAAGTTGGATGTAAACGCCACGTGGGGCTCTGAGGAGTCTCACGTCGTCCCTATGCAATCTCTGTGTAAATCAGAAATGCATACATCTTCACATCGCAAGGGGTAGCATTTCCAGTTCTCTTGACACTGTACGCCAATCAAATGAAGATTCGCCTCGAGTTCGACGCAAATGTAAGTCTCCGCCAGGAGTTCAAAGGAGTTTGGTCCGGTGACCTTCAGCAAGGCATACCTGTGTCGTGATTTTCACGCGTACGTCACAGGGAGGACTGGACGCGAACCGGTGCCCGATTTAGCCCCTGTTCGGCCCCAGATTGTGCACAAACGGGGCCGAAACCGAGGCGAAAGCGGGGCAGGGCTGGCCTCTGATTTCTTGCCGTTTTCCCGGGGCGGATTTGCAGCGGTGTCGGCCCCCGGTTTCCTGGACCCCGTTGTGAGAGTCCGGGGCCGGCTGCAGTCAACCCGATCCCGGTTTAAATCTAGACAAGGGTCCTTCGCCCACGGTTTCGGGCCGGTCTCCTGCAGTATATGCAATGGTTTCAAGCTGTAGTCGTGGCGGAAATAGGTCTTGAAATACATTGAATAGGAGCTCCCAGACACTACTTGGCGAAAATTGACAGTTATGGCGAGGTTCCCAACAGCGGTTGTGGTCGGTAGGGTGTTCCAGCACCAAACTTTCTTGTCCCACCCCCCGACTTCGCAAAAGTGGTACTTGACAAACGAAGGTTCAGCACTGGTTCTGAGCAGGGTTCAGAGTCGTCAAAGCCGGTGGAAGCTCCCGAGCATGTACGTAAAAAGTGCCTGACAGCCTGACCATTTTCGCCAGGCCGGCGAAATCCCCTTCCGAGACACCTAAGTGGCGAAAATCAGATCGGCAGTAAGAGCTAGTTTCGGCACGAACATTATCACAAGGAGAGGCATTGCGTTGCAAAGTTGGCAGCATTGTGGGCCACAGAGATAAGTAACAAAACCAATAGAAGGCGCGTCACAAGCGTAACACACCGTTTGTTTGTAGAAGCAGACACTTGTACAGTCATTCAAAGTCGCTCAAGTCCGAACTGCAGCGCGCACGATTAATATACAGAAAGGACAAGAGGAAGAAGAACAAACTGAGATCGACGTAGCATCGATATGCAGAACCGGATAAGAGCCCTAAGGGCCAGAAACTGACAGTGATCCCAACCGAATGAGGCCAAAGAGGATGTCTGCTAACCCAGGAACTTCGCTAGCGCTGCTTCGTTTAGAGTCACGAGAATGCACGTCTGACCAAGCGTGCCGAATCCATGTCTGCTCTGAATCCTTCTATCATTCCCAATCGCGCAAAAAGTGGCTTTGCTGCTTATCAACTTCGATGCTTTTAACGCTTTCCCGAGGTCGTCTTCGGGTTTCCTTCAAATGCTGAGAGTGTGCGACTGAAATCTGGGCCGCATAGTACCTGGATGCTATGTAGAGTGTGGCCATGAGTGCGTCCAACCGTCGCAATCTCCTTACACAACCTTTCACTTGAGTCGACCGTGATGAACTTGGAGTCACGAAGTGGGCAATCATATCTGAAAGTGTGTAGGTGAGGTTGACAGTTGAAAGAGCTGCTCCGGCAACTCAGCTCACAATTGCAACAACCGATTGGCTCTCTTGATGTACTTGTGCTGCAGCAGCATGTGAGCTTGTCAACCACTTTAAAAGATGATAACGTAAGGTCAAAAACTTCAATACTTTCCTGCCACAAAACTTTTTTTGAGATATTTAGGGTCGCTTAAGGCTGTAAGATCTCTCACCTAGCGCCTCGTAGTTGCCCTCTTTTTGGCCGCTATGGGAGCCGCACACCGACTATGTCCTAAGCGACGCGGAACTATCAGCAGCCCATGCTGAAGGCCTGGGGCTGCCTGAAAACTCGCTCCACCGATGTCTACTACTGATACAGGATGCAACTGCGAAAAGAAAAACGGTAACCGGTCATCAGCTGGGTGCTCCAAGTCATGCACGGGATTGCTGTAAGCGCTGACATGCAGCAAGCAGTTGAAGCTTGACCACATGAACCACGATCTTTTCCACTTTGACTGACTGAGTTGTTGATCTAGATGTGAAAACGTCACTCTGCTTGAGTTAAGCCTATGGAAAATGCTGGAGAGTTGAGGAGAGTTATGCAGCAAGTAGGTGGAATGACATGTATGCTGAAACTTCCACTCTTGGAAATTAGCCATTCAATCTGAAACTGGTGCTCATCAGCAAAAGGTTGCAAACCTTCGACCTTTTCAGGAGTTTTTACATCTCATTGCTTTTTGACCTACATGGGAGCAGTTTGAGAAACACCTATGAGTTATACTGTGGTCCATTCCTTCTTACCCAGCTTCTGCTTTCTGAAGGACTGTGACCTTCAGACGTCGTTGGAGTCTAGGGCAGGACCTGCTCTCTTTATCCAGTTTTGGCGAGGGAAAAGTACTTTGATAAAAGGAAAGGCTCCAATCTGCAGAGCAAGTATCTTCCCACACCTTGCAAGGCTCCTGCATTTCGCCCTTGCTTGATGCAGCATGGCGGAGCACTGACTCTGCTGAGCTTGATGCACGAATCCAACTCTGGCCTGGTAGTGCCAGGGAATCACCCTCGGTCTGATCTCTGGATGGTTGTCATCATAGAGAAGCTGGTTGCAGTGTGGAGTATCCGCTGACAACCTCAGCTGATGTGCTGAAAATCACGTCTAAACTTATGTTTGAGTACCGATATCTCTGCTTTGCTGCAGGTCGGAGCAAGGTCGATACGAGTTTTTCCATGCCCCAACCCCTTATGACAACATACCTGCTGCATAGGCGCCAGCTTATCTGCATCTGATCCGCATCTTAATATTCAGCAGCTCCTGAGCGCATGCTACAAGCAAGTTCACCTCTTGATGAAGAATGCACTCTCCAGCTAGCTGCCTCCTTATAGCATTGATGATGTGGCAGACACTGTGGTCAACGCATCCAGGGATGCAAATTGAACGACTTCCTCTTCCACTCGGGCCGTATTACTATCATTGTCAAAGTAGTACATTCGTTCAACTGCTCAGTTGTCAGCTACAACCGCGCCTGCATATTTCCCTTAAAGCGCCGCAACCACAGTCGTCGCGTTGGTCCATTCATTGACCGCTAAGAATCAGCTAAGATTCAAGGCGCGGCGCCTGCGGCCTGAAACTTTCAGGTTGTGCAGACTCCGGCAGAGCGCACTGCTGACGCCTTCGAAGTTCGAAATCAGAGGGATGTTTCTTCTTTTCCGCTGCATGATGCAGAACTGCTCATCAGATCGGGGCACTGCACTCTCCGCACTTTCCGCACTTGCTCGGCCGGTCCTCTACCGTAGAGTCTACGTCTGTAGGTAGATGGGGTGAAGTCTGCACGCGCACGGCGCAGTCTATAGATGATGCGTAGAGGACCGATTGGCTATTTAAAATTTGAACTCGCCGGGCACTGCTTTAAATATGAGTCATAATTGAACCGTGCTGATCTGACGTCAATCGCCAGTCAACGGTCAGTATTCTCGACTGCTGCTGGAAGTGAACATCGGAAGGTCTCGTAGCGCCGGTTCCTGCGCTTCGAGACGCCCCACCTAATTCCAACCATGAGTCGGACGGTTTCATGCAAATGTTGACCAAGTCCCGATGGACCCGACCCGGTTCCTGCCGCCATTGTGTCATGTGGGGCCCGATTACAATCTAGTCTTGGCCAAGGGCTTTGTGAACCGGGGTTTGATTTCGGGAAACAGGAGTCTGGGCGAAAACCGGGCCCACCCCAGGCTGCCATTTTCCGGGTCCGGACACCGACCTCAGGCAATGGAACCGGTGCCAAACCGGAATTAAACCGGGGCGTCTCGGTTTCGATCACGCCAGGCCGGTTCAATCCTCTCTGTAGTACCGGTAACTAAAGTATAGGCCCCGGAACATGGAATATCGGAATACGGAATACCCAATTTTGGAAGCGGAAGAATCCGGAATACCCAAATTTGGGCCTTGGAATACTAGAATACTGAATACAAGGCTTTTCCGAGCATACTACACAACATGATGTGGCAAACAACAGCCTAGTACTTGACTTCGAAATAAAAAGACATCCAAAAGCATGCTTCGAACGAAAGAAGATTGTAAAAGAACTCACACGACAAGCGCACTCCTTACGTACCTTTCAAAATGTCAAAAGTCAAATTTGCGAAATGGAATACAGAATACTTGAGCGCTCTGGAATACGGAATACTGCCTTTTTGAAACCTTGGAATACGGAATACTGGGGGTCAAGTATTCCATGTTCCGGGGCCGAAAAGTAGGCCTGGCCTGATACTTTTGAAGCGACCTAGCTGCGCTTCGTCCTCGTCCACTGACTCTAAGCAGCGTTCACAGAAACCCCATGCATGCAGAAAATGTCAATCAGCAATCTCAACTTTCATTTGGGGTTTCTGTGCAATATATCATTGGGATTTAGTAATCCTTGATTACATATAAGTTAGTCCTTCAGGAATCCTCGGGAACCGAGCTGGATACTTTCTAGCGGTGGATCTTCATTAAACGCTTCTGTGACAACGTGGTTCAATTCACCTTGACAAGAATCTGGAATACCGTTCGTATGGCGAGTCTTGCAAACGAACCGTAAAACTATTGATCGGCCGTTCACACGTTCAAATGCAATCTGCAGCCAGCGCTAATTGAGGTTGACGCTCCCAGCTGCCCCAAATATCGTTTAATAATTACCTCTCAAGTTACTGTCTGTTCACTTTCTTCTAAGGGGCTTTAAACGCGGATGACGTGGTCGGAAGCCTTATTGGATGTGGCCGGCGCCGTTCCGCTCGGTCCGTCCCCAACCTTCGCCTCTTCCGCCGACCGTTGCCTGGGCCCCGCCAGCCACTCGGGCGCCCGAAACTCCGTCTGCCCTTCTACCGCATCTAGCATCGGGGGCAACGACGACAGAATGTTGCGCAATCCAGACAGGCTCGCGTTTGATTCTCCCGAACCCCCGGTGTTCCAGATGTGGATCTTGGGCGACATCCCCCTGACAGCGTCCGCAGTGGTTAAGTGGTGGTCGCCATCTTTTCGAACAGTCCGCTCTGCAGCGCCAGCTGGAACTTGGCCAAGTCCGGACGCTGTTCGGACGCCGCCAGCAGCCGCGCCAGGCCGTCCGCTTGGGCTTCGAAAATGGCGAGCGTGCCTTCCGCGCTTTTCAGCTGCTCGTACAGAACGGCGTCCGCGGCCTTTTGCTTTTCGTACAAGTGCGCGTCCGCAATGCATCAGATGGCCTCCGCGCGGCCCTCCGCCTCCTTAACCGCGCTCTCCGCGTCGGCAGTCGTTTTGGCCACCTGCGAGGTGCATAGAAAGATGATGAAGCTTAAACATCATTTCATGTTGCAAAAATTTAGCATCTGTTCAGCTTTCTACATGAACGCTGGCGTCTCGAGACGCATTGGTGATGTACTGGGTTACGTCCCGATTGGCCAACATGCCAATATGCGATTCACATTAGTTCGTCCGTTTGTGACGGCGGGGCTAGTTAGCACGCCAATGGACTGAATACACTTGCGGCTGTCAGTCTGCTTACACATGTGCGGAAACCATGGGCAAGCTTTGCAGCCAACAGACAAGGAAGACACGCGAGAGCGCCTCTCTGTAAAAGTGTTGCTTGATGCTTCCAAGTTCTGTCTGCTGTGTTCCCACTCACGAAGACTCGGCTGG